GGAAAAAAAAAAAAAAAAAAAAAAAAAAAAAGTGGCTGCTACTCAGCGTGCCAAGGCCTTCGACGAGAGACCCTCGGGTTACGTTCGCCTTGGCACCACTCGCAACTTGCACCTCGAAGCGTCGAGACAACGGCCGGCGCCTTGGCACGGTGGAGGGGTTTTGTCGACGGTCGCTTGTGAGGTTATTGTCGGCGTGGCCATGCGGCATATATTCCTCGTGTGACAGGTAGAGATTGGAGTGCCGCGCCAACCCGAAGGAACCTCTCTCTGTCTGGGCCCTGGCGGCTGTCGCGAGGAGAAAACAATGAAAGCGCCGACCCCACTTTGGAGCTGTCAAAGAGACCCCTGCCCCTGCCTGTCTCAACGAAGCACGAAACACGCCGCCACTACAGAACCCTCCGTCGAAGCCAAAGAACTTTGGAGTACTCCGTACATATGCATCATTGCTACCTTAAGTACTTACCTAAGTAGGTACTTTACTTGAGTACTTAGGTAGCACTCAAGTCTGATAGTACTCGACATCAGCAGGCACGTCGACCAACACGCGTAACGCGCTCGAGGAGCCCGCGCCAGAGATCCCCAGCAAAGACAGAATACAGCCTTTGCCGGATGCTTTCTTTGAAAAATACAGCCAAGTATACGCTATTCGCCATGTACGATCTGAAATCCCTCGCCCCTCACAAACACCCAATCTGCATCTCGACGTCGTCCCATCGACCCATGCGCATGGGATCGAGAGCCCGCAGCTTCGCCAGCCACCCACGCAGGTCCCTCCGCTCCGTACAGCCTTCCTCCAGCTCCCCCAGGGCCAGAGTGTACTCGAGGAGAGATTCGTAGATCCACTTGACATCGTCATAGTCCTCCAAGAGCTCCTCAATCTCGTCAATCTCACGCCCCAAGTAGGCAACCTTCTCCCGGGCAGTCAGGGGCGGCAAGAACGTCTGCCCAGCGCCACGGTTGATAATTTGCGACACCAAGAACCGATGGTAGTACCACAAGCTCTGGTCCTCGGGCCCGACGTTCAACGCCTCCCTCACGAGGTCCAGCTCCTGCCCGAGCATCGCGGCCCGCTTCCCGGCGTCGGCCCCCCGCTCCTCGAGCAGCCGCCGGATGAGCTGGCTGCGGTTGTGCCACGCAGAAAAGTTGGACAGGTCGCGGCGGATGATGCGCTCCGTGTACGCAAACTCCTCCTCGGCCATGCTCTCGCCTTGCAGCTCGGGGCTCTCCAGCCTGCCGATTACAAGTCGCCGGTAGCTCCAGGCGTGAAAGTTGCGCCGGTCCTTGTCCAGCATCTTGGACGTGAGGTCCAGCTCCGTCTGCCAGGCCTGGCGGGCGGCGGCGGCGGATAGCCTGAGGATGGCTTGCGAGAGGGCCCATTGCCGGAAGTTCCAGATCCAGTAGCACTTGGGGGATTGCACGAGGAGCGGAATGGTGAATGTGAGTTCGGACTGCAGGACCGCCAGGTCCGACGAGGCTTTTTTGTCGGCAGCGTCACGGGCGGCCGGCGGCTGCTGCTGGCTCGTCGCGAGCGGAGAAAGCAGGCTGGAGAGGAGGCACCGGCGGCGGACGTTCCATATCGTGTAGTACTCGGGGTTGATGCTGAGGAGCTTGCTTGTGAGCTGGAAGAGCTCGGGGGTGAAGTCCGCCGACGCTGCTCGGGCGCGCACCTCGTCTTCGAGGGCGCGGTATTTTCGGATCTTTTCCAGGTCCTGCTGTCGCTGTTCTTCGGTGCGTACCCGGAACGTGCGGGCTACGCCATGCTGTTACCGTCGCCAGATGATGCATTAGTCATTGTGCTTCGGTTCGACTGAGGTATGGGAGGGGGGGAGAGGGGGTTCGTTTCCTACGCTGGCCATGACAAAATGTCGCTGAATTGTCAGACTCGGCTTCTGCTGTAGGTGTTGTGACGTGATCAATCGATTGCGGGCGGGCAGGCACTCACGTTGATGGTCCGTGCGCCGTGTCTCTGCCCTGAATCAATTCCATAATTAGCAACTTCTAACTTACCTCGATAAAGTACCTTCGTACTCCGCCATGTCTGCACTCTCTACACCGCAGCAGGGATGAGGCTACAATGACAAAAAGTGACTGATATCAGCAGCACATCCTCCCAACAGCCCAGCCTGTCCATCCATAATCATTCGAATGCAACGCCCATCTGCGTCCCGGCACTGTTATTTCCGTGGCACAGCAAAAAGGCGCCCTGTGCAAACGCCGACACGATGAGTTGGGAATACCCAATCATAACATGTTTAGACTCTACACTGACCACATCACATGCTGATGCACGTCTGCCTCGCCGTCGTACGATAGCTCTTGTGAAAATGGCTCATGTATATACAGGAAACGCCACGGCAGCTCCGCTCCCACAGCTGCAAGGGCTGCTGGCTGGCGCGCATTCAGACGTCATTCCCTGTCCCTGACTCTCAGAATGCAAGGCTGTCGCGCATACCACACCCTCCGTTCCTTCACTCCCAGTGCAGCATTCATCAACTTTTGGGTGTCTGATGGCCGACGTCCCGGCTCTTGAGCTTCCTTCAGCCCCTCGTCAAGCACTTGCACCTCTTCCACAGATGCCGCCAGCTCGAACTCGCCTCGACAAAGCGCCGTCACGCCAATCGCAAACTCTGTGACTTCGTGTCCCTTGAGTTCGGGGAGCCGTTGCTGCAAAGCGCCGTTCCAGGCAAACTTCCTGGTGTAGTCGAGCGCCACGTTGAGTGGCCGGTGGCACAGCGCCGGCATCAATCTGACCAGCGGCCATATGGGCCTGGCTGCCCGGTTTGCGATTTGCACCTTCATCTGCATAAACTCATCCACGTACGCGACATTGTCTGGTGCTCCGTCTACCGAAACCGTAATGTCCACCTCATCAAATCTAATGACTTCTATCATTCGGGGTGTCAGCCGAATATTGCGAAGTTCCACCGCACCATTTCGTTCAGGCACCGACGTCGTCCGCCACGTCGCCTTGAGGTTTTCAAGAAGCTTTTCCCGGTACCAAAACGCCTCGCGACTCGCACGCTCCATATCGGGCGAGATTTTGCTGGCGCTGACGACGAATTGCCTCTTGCGTGACGGATCAAGACTTGGCACTGGTTCGTGGGGGTCTTCGAGGTATACTCTTCTCATGGGAATGACGACCCGGCTCGTCTTTCCGGGGAGAATGCTGTCCTCCACCGTCATTCCATCTTCGCCTTCAAGCTGGATCGACATTTGACTTGGCCAGGCGTTGCGCACATCTGCGGTTAGCAGGAAGTACCTTTCTGTCGAGGCCCCTTTTTCCTTTTCATCGCCCCCAAGTCTTTTTGAAAAGGCCGACGGTAGCTGCCCTTGCATTGGGACAGCGTCGATGCGAGAAAGCTCCACACTGGCATTCACCGTGACGGTCAAGTCCAGCAATACTTGGCGCGTGTAGAATTGTTCGGTCACATCGTCCCGTGGAACACCAAGACATGTATAGTCCGCCTGAATCGTGGCGTGCGTTAGACCTGGCTTGCCCAGAATCTCAAACTCAAAGGTTGCCTCTCCACCCGGCGGCATATATCGGTATTGGCCGTTCCGCGGCAGCCTTAGGGCCTGGTTCTTCATGAGTACCAATTCATACTCGTAGAGCTCAGCCGGCGTAGCATCTCGATTGTCCAGCGCTGTCTGCAGCGGGCCCTGCGTGGAATCCTTGAAGGAAAAGAGCAAAAAGTCCACGGGCGTAGTGGTAGATGTGTTTTGCATCGTTACAGTGAAAACTTGTCTCTCGCCCTCGAGCATCATGACCGACGACTGAGCAAGACTGGTCGACTTGACAACGACTAGCGGCTGGGGTTGGATGACATTGAGATCAAGGACTTCGGGTTCTGGTTTTACAGGTGCCGTCCTGCTGCTGCTGTCTAGTGCAGGCGGACCCTTGCATTTAATCTTTTCGGCCCGAGATGGCGTCCAATGCTTCGGAAAAGTGGGAAATCTGCGTTCTCGACAACCGCGTATCTTGACCACGGCGCCGGTGACCTTGATGGGGCCGGAAGCCTTTGGACGACCCTTCAGTCGCACGACTTGCGTTCGATAAGGTCCTAAAACGACATGTTCTGGAACTGATTCAAACTCCACACCCTCAGTGTCAAGCCGCATGTTTTCAATGTCGACCTCTACGTCGTATGTATTTTGCAGCGTGACTTTAAATGTGGCCAACTCGCCAGCTACAAGGTTCTCCGCAGCCACCTCGGCGGGCTCCTTCAAGAAAGGATTATAAATGAACGGATTGACGTCTTGTGAAGCCCTCGAGGCATTCGCGCCGGGGAGTACGCTCTTTGCGTGAGGAATCGGGGTTCGCGTATTGGGTGGCGGCTCCAACGCGATGCCCCGAACGAGGAATTCATCCCAGTACTCGGCTGCGAGGCCTTCTAGGCCAATTCGCTCCGTTAGAACAGTTGTTCGCGCTATGTTCGTTACAAGGCGGTTCTGCTCCTCCTTGTCGATGTGTGGCGCGACGTCTTCGCGCTTGGGACCGGGAGCGATTCCAGAGCCAGCAGTTCGCAAAAGATCGCCGGAGAATTTTAGAACGCCCTCGAAATCTGGAAGTGCCTCGGAGAAGTTGATGCATGCTCTGAGGATATTTAGTTTAATTTCAGTGAACCCAAAGAACCGTGTCGAAGATTGGATGAGAAGCCTCGCAACAGTTGCAGAATCAGAATCATCAGGCCCGCTGCGATTCTTGCGCATGTCAAAGCCAACAACACCATATGACCTGCACAATAGATCCAGGAACGGCTCAATGCCGTCTTCGATGTCGCCCTCCCCAAGGTCCAGCGCAACTCCCGCTGCACTGGGCTTTTCGCTACCCGGAACCAGGGAGACCAAACCCGCAGCCGGATGAATCCCTGCCTCGGCCGCACCACGGGTACGAGCCTCCACAAGACCGTCAATGAGGACCGACACCAGCTCACGGATCACCATGGCCTTTTTCCGATGATAGCCTAATGCCCCTAGCACATTCGCAATACCGCTTAATATTGACGTTCTGTCAGCAATGGTCAGAATTTCCGCGCCCGACGATGGAAATGCCTTGAACAACATGTTCATAATCTGCTGCCTTGATGGTGTCACAGTAAATTGAGGAGAGGATGATGGAGGCAGGTACGGCAGTTCGCCCGTGACAATAGCGTCCAAAGCCTTCTCATCCAACTTGCCGCCGCTGAAATGCATGGCTGACAGCAGTTTGCAAAATCGAACAGTTGTCTCAGCCAGAGGCAGTGGCGGCAAATTTTCACTAGATATTCGAGAGTACAGGCCCAGGATTCTATCGAGGAGCTCAGGAAGTAGACTCTGCAGATGGCGTATGTGCCTAGGCTGTGAAGAATCGGCATTGTCTGCTTCTGACTTGAGAAGTCCTGACATGCTCACGGGCCGCTCGTGATTCGGCAAGCACACTGCTGGTACTTGGAACTCTAGTCTCGACCAGCCCAGGAGTACCAGGTTCATGATGATAAGCTCCAGGGCCTTTCCATGCCAAATGTGGTCGTTTAATGAGCGAGCAGCTGTTGCGCCTTCGGATAGTTCCCTGAGTGAGTCGCTCCACCGTCCTGCCTGCAGATATATTGATCCAACGAGCACGGACGCGCGCCCTTTGCCACGCAGCCTCCATCGATCATTGGCACCGCCAGGCCCAAATCCTTGCACAGAAACCCGATCTCGACTAACATCCGGCGAGTTGGTCGGGTCCGGCCTCTGCGGCTTCTGCTCCGGACTTGACAGCCCGGTGCTGGATCCACTCCGTCCGTCCTCAGGGCTCATCGGAGTGGCGGACAACCCACTCCGTGGCGGCGTTGACGGCCGTCCAGCTGCATTGCTCGATGATCTCGACGTGGAAAGCGGCATGGACAGCCTTGCCTGTGTCTTGTCCGCAACGCTCGACGTCGAGTTAGACCGTGACAGTGGCTGGGGCTGCGAAAACTGCGAATTCCGTCTTGATATTGACACAGGGCTTCCGTCACCATTACTACCCCATGTATGGCCATCCATATTTCTCGCGGACAATGATCCTGGAGATTCAATTGTAGTCATCGCCTCGAATGACTTTGCCAGCGTCGTCATCTCTGCTAGCACTAACGAGGAGACATCGCACATGACAGTCTTTATGGTCGTTCGCTTTCGCCTGTCCTTGGGTGGAACAGCCACTATCCCATCTGGCATAGGAATGTCCATTCCCTCGGGAGGGGCGTAATCAAAAATAACGACTTGATGCACAAGTACCTTGGGGTAATTGTCTCTTAACTCCTCTAATTCTTGGTACAAGGCGTGAATATTCCTCTCGACGATTGTCGCCGCCCTACTGGCCGAGTACCTCTTGCTGAACGTCTTGCCTTGAAGCTCCTCCCCGTCCGCTAGCGCAATCAGAACTAGTGGTTGACGGTATAGATCGAAGGGCGACAAGGAGAGGTGCGACGCAGGCGGCAGGTGTGTTATAAGATCGTAGAGCATTGCACCGTCGGGATACGCCAACGGAGAAAACATGTCTACTAGGTTAGCACCAGTCTCCCCAACACGTGAACACGACATGTCGAACGGCAAGCGAGGGTTCTCAAGTAACAGGATGAGGGGGTAGCAGGTGTACTTCTATTTGGCCTCCCGTCGGCACTAATGTCCCTGAGGTGAACGACATATTCGCCTTGTAGTATCTTGACAAACTCGGCAAAACGTTGCGCCTTGATCTTTCCCAGCGGCAGCAAGAGCGCTCTTGCCCTCGCAGGCGCAATGGGAAGCAATGGATCCGAGGACATCTCTTATAACCGCACTCTGTGCAACATTGTCAGGAATCGTCTGGCCGGAAGCGACTGGTGTCGGAACGGGTCTTTTGGATGCTGCCACTAGAGGGATGGATTGTTACGGCCGGAGGCCTCGGCGCACGCTCCTTGTATGCAGAGGCAATAGAGGACCGGCTCGTGGGCATTAGGCTCTGGGATTGGGCGTGGGGGAGCTTCAGGCGTGGCCGCGTTATGGCGTTGAGCACGGAACAAACGACGGACACGGGGAAGCAAGATCGGGTGGTGCTCAAGTCTCGGGCGTGTGAGCTCAAGGCGGTGGGGCGTGGCGAGTAAAAGTCAAGGCTGGTGGTTGTGGTACCTGGGCAGTAGTTATCTGGTACCACCAGAGATGGCCTGCATGCGCCTACAGCCCTACCATATAGATACCTTAAGTACACTCGGTATGAACAAAAATAGTGACTACAGGTCATGTTTCGGCACCTTTGGGACAGTTGGACCAAGTCAATCCAAGGAGCAACCGTGCTTCCCTTTGTCTTTCGCCGCATGTCTCTATTCTGCCGGCTCTAGGGTATCAATCTTCCTCCGCTTTTTTGTCTCGTGTGTATCCGCGAGCCCCGTCCCTATCACCACTGTACAATCAAGAAGCCGTCCTAACGCCATTGTCGCCATCACTTCCCTTCTCATCCTCTCATTCTCCCGGAATGCCAATCGCAAAAACATTCACCGTTTCCCACATGACTTGATCGTCTTCCCGATCCCCATACATCCAACTCATTGACTCATTTGGCTTCGCCCTCCTGCTTCCGGGCTCTTGTCCCTCGGCCTTTTACCCTTTTTGGCCTCTTCCGTAAGTTCACTTTCGAAGATATCAACGGCCAGACTAGAGTCCACAAAGTCCTCCATCTCTTCTGTGACGGTCTTGAGTTTCTCCTTGACGACCAGTGCAGCCTCTGATCCAACAATATGCCTCGATGGGGGGTTTTCGTGCCCGCCAATCGCCGTGAGCGCGTGAACGGTTTCATTGACGAGGGCATCCGCGGCTTGAGGGGACAGCCTGGCATAGCGGTCAAAAATTACTCCGCGACCCGGTTCTGGTTCCAACGAAGTGCTGCCCGGAGTGGATGGCGTAACTCCAGACTCCTCCAGGGACTCTGGAACGGCTGTATCGGGATCCGAATTCAGCACATTGCTGAGCATGTCTCGTACGTTGGGCGCCGCGGTATACGCATCAACATAGACGGGGATCTGCGGCGCAAATGTGAGACGACCAGTCAGGGACTGAATCTCCAAATTCGGCTGCACAATCGTCACCTTGATGTTAAAGGGTGCCACTTCGTAAGCTAGAGAGTCACAGTATCCCTCGAAGCCCCACGTTGCGGCTGAGAACATGGACATGCCAGGCGTCCCGAGGTGGCCGCAGGTGCTTGTGAGTGCAATAATGTGTCCTGTGTGTTGTTTCCTCAGTTGTGGTAGCGCCGCCTTTATGAAGTTCACCTGCGAGAAAAAGTTGCTTTCGAATTGCTGTCTAGCAAGACTTTGCGTATGTCGATTGGTTGAAAGCTCCTCGACGGTGGCCACAACAGCTACGCAATGGATTGCCGGTTATTAGAGCGTGCCAACCTTTTTTTTTTGGTTTTGGGGAGAGAATATCAATTCGTCCAAAGACCGTCACGGCATCGGCGACGGCAGAAATACAAGAACTCATTTTTCCGTCGCAGCGGATGCCTCGAATGCGGTTCTCCCATCCTTCACGGTCTTTGCGACTGCTCTTACACTCAGCAATGAGCTCCCGAAACTCGGCGCTGCGTTGCTCATGGTCAATTTCTTGCGGTGGTAAACATGCGACGACGTAGTCGCCGTGAGACAGCAATTGGCGGATGAGCCGCACGGCCAATGGCGATAACGCGGCCGTCAGCACCCATGTACGCGGCGAGTTGTGTGTTGCTGCAGGTCGAGTCTGCTCGTCAGCCATAGTCTTAGATTCGGAGAATGCAGGCCAACATGTCAATGCCGACGGACTTGGTGAGCAGAATTTGCGTGTGAAGAGGCAATGAGGAGTGGGGGAGACGGTCAGATGTTGGATGTGACGTCTCGGGATTGTTCAAGCATGTAGGAGACGACGCCAAAGCCATTCGCGGCGTCTCTTGGATGGCGTTGAGTTGCAACTCGGGTGGTGCGGGCATCGCGGCGAGGAGACGTGGCTACTTGGTACCTCAAGCTGCTTGCTTGAGCTTGACATTTGCAGCACAGCCAGTTGCCAGTTTGACGCACGACACCCAGCCAAGTTCCAACCAAGCCCACCAAGCCGTCGGTTGTTGGAGGAGCCCAGGATAGCCTAGCGCTTCCATCTTGTGGTTTTGTGGCTGAGGCCAGGCCGCCAAGCGCCCGAGGAATCGGGAGGCGTCGGGCGCGGTGAATGAATCAGCAGTCAGGGGAAGCGAAATCAAGCCCAAGGTCACGGTGACGAGCATCTGGGAACACAGCCTTGTTCAAACTGAGGCGGAAAAGAACGTACGGAATGACGGCGGCGGTATGTTCGTCTGGTGTCGTGTGGAGCCGGAGCCTGCAGCTGAAGAGGACGTGGTGCCTGGCGTTGTCGTCGTGGACTGTGCGCCGGCTCCATGCCGCCGGGACTGGCCATGGCCGCGGGAACCAGGGCCAGGCCGGCTACTGTTTGCCATGGCTCGCGTCTTTATCAATCCCGTCGCTGATGCCCGGCTCGACTTGGCGTCCCGTTTGGTGGCGGGACAAGTGGCGGGCGTGGTTCGCGTAGACGGACACGGCGAAGACGACGCAACGAGAGCCGATCACGTCGACATGGCGTTGGCATTGCGTGGCTTCCATTGCCCGGAATCGACAAGAGGGGAGCAGCAGGGCACATGGCGGCAATAAATAGTCGGAGGAAATGAGGAGGAGAGGCAATCAAGGTGCAAGTGAGAGACTAGAGTGCGATCGCTCATGCTCGTGCTCGTGCGGTGCGTGTTGACGAGACCCGGCCGCATGGCACTGGGCTGCCTGGGCTGGCCGCTGGCCGCTCGACACCGGCAACTGGAACATTGAACATTGAACAATGAAACGGCGTACCCCGTACTCCGAGTCCGTACTCGTACTCGCAGGCAGACACTTGGCAGACCACCAGGTCCCTAGGTACCCGGCACCCTGCACCTGCCGAGGTGCCTATTTTTAATTTTAATTGACAACCACCAGCCGGGGTTGGCGAGGGCTCCCGGGTGCCCGTCTTGCAAACTCTGGTTCGCATCACAGGCGACATTCAAGTACTACGTAGGGCCCCATCGTCGACATTCCTTGATCACCCCTTGTAGCTTTTAGGCCGTTGGAGCCTTTGACCCTGTGGCCGTCTGGCTATTTTAAAAACGCAAGCAAATTAACCCAGGAATTGGGGGATCTTCGCATGTCAAGGCAACCTGCGAGGCCAAGTACCTGGGCACTTAGGTACCGACTAAAATTCCTGGCATGGGTAGGACCGGACAGGGAACGGCAAGCAGCGACACGAGGCGACCAGGAAGGAGCGACAACGGCAACTGTGCAAAAGCAAAAGCAACAAGTGACTACTCCGTACTTACATACAGTATTAAGTAAGTACATCCTTAACCTTGCAGTACGTGAGCCTCGTCAAGCCCCGACTCCCGCCTTCCGCCCAGTCGACCAACGTTCACGTCAGCCTCCATCATGTAACATGTCGGGCTCGAGGCGCCCCTGTGTCTGATCTAGCGGGCGACCCGGCTGTCTATCAAGCTAGCTACGGAGTATACATGATGGATCTGCGGATGCGTTGGACCCTCAGAGTCCGTGCAAAATGGGATCTTCTCGCCAGCACAACCGAGCAGAATCAATGTTCGCCATTTCCCGGCTACTCGGTAGTGGTCAGACTAGTACGGAGTTCATCGTTAGTCTCCATCTTTCACCTTGGCCCACGTTTCCAGCGAGTGACAGGTGCTTGGCTTGAATGGGTCCATCTCGGAACCAGCGACTAATTATAAGGAGCGGTGACGAAGTGTTTGCCTGCCGCCCCGGCTTTGCCATACAAACTTCCCTGACAACTATATGCTTACTGACATGATTTACAGTATAGCATTCGACCCGGACGACAGGGCCTTTTTGCACGTCGGTGTCTCAAAGGAATGTGACCCTAAGGTTTCATACCCACCGCCTACGCACTCCGTCCGCCGGGGAATCAAGAGCCTGGCATGGCCTGGCAACTGGGACCGCGGGAAATGTGAGACAAACTCATGCCCGTTGCGGCATCCCAACCCATTGGACCGTTGGGCACTCCGATAAAGGAGTAACTACATGGTACTATCGTCACCATCCCAGCTTCAACACATGCCGGGGGGAGCTGGCCGTCTACGGAGACGAAAGAAGAATGCTCTGACGGTGCTATTTGAGAAAAGACAAGAGCTTGAAGACTATTCAAAGACACATGTATGCACTTGAGATTTCACGGCGCATCGCCAACAATGCATCTCGTGCATATGCCAGACCACCATGGGCGCTTGGGAGCCGGGGCTGCCGCTCAGGGTATGGGAGTCAGCCTTGCTACATGTACTAAATAATAGCATGCCAGGCCCATGCCTAGTGCGCAGGTCTTTTCCATCCTCCTGGTTCGGGAGTTGGTGAAACAGCCACAATAACTGTTGGCCAGGGTACCGAGTCCATTACGCCCTTGTCCATAGTTGACTGCCCATGCTTGAGAACTGTGCAAAATTCTAGCGCGGAAGCTTGCAAGTCAGCTTTCGTTCGCCCCTTTTTCAGTGTCTTCACTCAGGACATCTTGAGCCGCTTCGCAAGTCGTTCAAACTTGGAAACCAGATGCACGGGATAGCGCAGAGCAAGAAGACTGACTACTTGGTGCAGGTATCCTGATGGTCATGGTCTCTCACCAAAAGAGTAGCCAAGCGGCTTCCGCTGACAAGGAGGCTTCTTCAATTTTCAACTCGACAAAGCGCCAGGTTGCGCTCCAGCGCCAGCTACAGCTACATGATAGCAATAATACGGTACTCCATGCTCAACGACTGACTGCTCCACGATGAGCCTGTTCAGGCATGTCCTGCCGATCCAATCATCCGGCGCGGGAAGACAGTAACCAAGTGCGTGATTCACTATTTGCATGCCAATTGGCCAGAGGTTTATTCCCTCACTAACCTTTGTCCGGCCTTATGTTTTCCTGGGCGCATCCCCCTGCACGCTCACATGACGTCCGGTTTCCGGCTCGACGTCTAGCTGTTTGACGGTCTCATTCATGCCAAAGAGCTCGTCCATCTTCTCCAAGCTGAGACCTTTGGTCTCGGGAACGAAGAAGAACACAAACAAACCCATGAGGACGTCGAAGCTGCCAAACATGAAAAACATACCCTACAACGTATAAATTAGCTTGGACCCAGTCCTGCCGTGACACGTCGTGCTTGTGCACACTCACATAACCCTTGTAGCCCATGGTGTTTTGCATAGTAAGGACGGCTAACAGGACACGTTAGTCAGTGCACGCCAATCTAGCAACAGCCAGGGTCACGCACTTCGAGCCATGACAAAGTTGAAGAGCCACTGGGTTCCGGCACCAATGGCGACATTTGCGGCACGCAACCTCGCGGTGGGAATCTCGCTGACCAGAATCCAGCAGGAGGGTCCCCAGCCAAACTGGAAGATGCTATCCACCATGTCAGGCTGTAAACTAAACAGAGGAACAGAGGAAATCTACGTACGCGGCCCATAGGTAGATGCAGGTAATGGCGATGTACCAAAACGCAGAGACCTGGGGCGCTTTAGCTCGGCTGGTTGCAAACGAGACACTGCACAGACTTACCGACTCTCCAGTGACGGGAGGCTGCACACGCCCGTAGATACCGATGATGAACAGCACAATAACTAGCATCGGGCTGGTCCACAACAAGCTCTTTCGTCGCCCCAACGAGTCGGCGATGAAGAGCAGGAACAAGCAGACGGCCACGGTCTTTACGATGCCATAGACTCCGGTGGCAAAGAGTGATGAATCCGTCCCATTCATTCCAAGATTGGTGAAGATTTGGGGAGCGTAGTAGTTCTGACGGGGATCAGGAACGTGTACAGGTTGGGGAGAGGAGCAACCGAGGGAAGGGTCCTTTGGACGTACAATAGCATTCACGCCGGTGAGTTGCTGGCATATCATGAGGACAATGGAGATGACGGTGCGCCGTCGATTGGCAGGGACCAGCCACATTTCCTTCATCAAACTCTTAAACGTGGCATCGCCCATCAGGCGGCGCTCATTCTCGAGCTGACGTACCATTTCTTGCATCTCTCCGGAGACGTACGCCGAGTCGGTTGGAAGTCTGCAGACCGTCAGCGATTGGTAGATCTGCGGGAACACGGATCGGAAAGGTACCCTCGCAACGTGACCAAAATGTGGGAGGTTTCTTCCCACCTGTCCTTTCGAGCGGTCCATCGAGGGCTTCCAACCGGTCAGCGAGGTTGCGACGGGACAGCATTTCTGGAGCAGACAGCAGACAGACCTCTCTGGAGAAACAAGCATGCCCGCGACCAAGAGACTGGTTGCGGTCAGCGCATCGGCATTGATTGATGGTGGACATTGTTTCACGGGGAGTACGCTCACACCGCGGGCAGGGCCTGCAAGGCCAGGGGGATGATGAAGACTGCCGGCGCAGGCACATGCAGGAGACAGCCGTAGTTGACCCAGAAGGCGATCATGATGCCGAGGACTATGAAGAGTTGGTAGAAGGCTATCGGCCCCGTGTTAGCCAGTCCACGAAGGAGGCCGCGACTCCGGAGACGGGGGAGGGCAGAGATACCAGTCAAACCGCCGCGAATCGCTCGAGGAACACATTCAGACACGTAGAGCGGGGTCAAGGTCGACGCAGCACCGACGCCGAGCCCTGCGATGAATCTCCCGACGTACATGACTGCCAAGGCGCCGTTCGCGGCAGACGCAGCCTGAAAGACGACTCCGACGATGGTGATGACGCCAGAGCCGATGAGGCTCCGTCGACGACCAAATCTGTCGGCGAACCAGGACGTCGCAAAGCAAGCAGCAAAGCAGCCGGCCTGCAGCGTCGAGACGATGTTCTGGTCCAGGTTCAACTTGTCCGTCTTGGGTCTGTGCAGGTATCCGAAGCGTTGTCGGGTCTGGTCCATTGCCAGAACGCCGCCAATGGCACCGGTATCCCAGCCGAAGAGCATGCCGCCAAAGCAGGCAGAGCAGACGAGCGCCAGGACTTTGGCGTTGTAAATCTGGTCGGGGTCGGTGCGCATGGCATCGTTGCGCACGATGCTCCGGAGGATCTTTGCGAGAGCCATGCCGAGGCGTCGTTGTTGGGAACACACGACGGCCGAGATCAAGAGCCCAAGAGCCTCAAAACGTCGACTGGTCCTCTGGTCAGAGGGCGCGGCCCTGGGCCCTGCAAATGCAAATGCAAATGCAAATGCAAAAGATGGACTTGCTTGAACGCAGCGCGCTTTTGCCTGTCACGGTGAGGTTGAACACGCAGAACAGCAGGTTCATCAAGAGAAAGAATTGGGGGAGGAAACCGGCCAGTGAGGCGCTTGCTATAAGAATGTTGCAAAGTTTCTCTTGACACCAACAACCAGCCAGGTTGATTGGAGGCCGAGCAGACGGGGTTGCGCTACATGAGGAGGGAGAGACGGCTCATGGAGCTAAGAGCCTGCTTTCAAGTTGACCAGAGGGGAAAGCTGCAGCCAAAAGAGGCTGTCCAGCCTGGACCTCGAACAAAAATAGTAGATACAACTATAATTGGCGTTGTGTTATGTAATTTATTGTATTTTACATAATATAGTATGAATATATTATTAGAATAAAGTCTCGATATTTTTTCTTTTCTTCTATTTATAGGCTTAATTATACAGCTTGTACAGGATTTTTTTGTTGGCAGAAGGTTAAGAACTAGCCTTAGCGGCAACTGCATGTAAGCATCACTAGTACTAGCTATAAACTTGAGGAGAAGGGAGGAAGAGGAGAGGTTCCTCTCACCAGGCAGCTTTAGCCTGGTCGGTCGCAGGAGATGTAGCGATCCAGCACATACATGCACGAGTCGATTGCAGATTCAGCAGCTCCCGCCCCAATCGCACCGCGGTCTTGAGGGCACGCATGTCCTCGTTTCCAGAAGAGTTGGACGCGAGGATTTGCAGCGTGCGAGCACCATCGGGCGAGACGGCTGGCACCAACCACTTCTGCTGGCCGAAGCGGCTGCTGCTCAACCTGGTGATTGGTTGAGGTAGAGACATTGTCTACCCTTGGCTGCCGTCCATACCGAGAATAATAAGCACCGTCGTGGTTCGGCTCTCAGCGGCGCAAGACATCGATCCGCAAACGGCAGATCGGCGTGTTTCGTCCCTGTTGGCTGGAGGTACAACATTGGCCCGACTGCTTGATATACTTGGACAGTCTAGTTGCTAGTGGTCGTGTCGCTCGTGTGTACGGAAACATGATTACTTCTTCGTCTTGGTGGCTGACGTTCGTGTGGGGAGCCGGTCAAGATGGCCTGGGGCTGAAATGTCAAAGAGCAACAACTCGTCACAGTAGTCCGTGAAGGCATAGGTTTATTACGCCGGGCTGTAGCATCCGTCGTCCCGAGTTGTGGGGGAGGCGTCACCGTCTTCCTGTCTGCTCATCTCCACATTAGGACTTTGGAGCTTGCACCGAGTCGTTCGTCCGTACGGAGTACACGTCGACAACGTGGCCCTACCCTGCATCGCATCCCGGTCAAAACTTGCTCCCTTCAAAAGCAGACTCAACTCACCTCGCTTCGCTCTTTCACGCAAGCCTCCACGCAAGCACGCCTGGGCATCATCGCCGATGGCCATGCCCCGACGCAACAAGGCAGCGCCCAAGCGTAAATCAAAATGGACCGCGGACAACGTGCTCAGCGACCCAAAGTCGCCGCTGGCGTCTGCTGATCTTCGGGCACGTCTACGTCTCACCCGCTTCCTGACTTGCTTGTCTGTCCATGCCTTCAATTGACTAACACTTTGCCACTGCAGAGCGTGCTCTCGCACCCGCTAGCATGGTCGTCACTCAGCGCCCAAGACAGAAGAGAAGTCCTCTCCTTATTTCCAGACATGGCCCACACGCTGGACGCGGACACAGGCGACGCCCGTCCCAACTTTGAGACGCTCATGAATGACGATTCCTTCCGCTACGACTGCGCGGCCTATGTCGACGATCTGGCGCGGGGGAGACACGACGCTGTTTGGTTGGAGGACGCATGGCGTGCACACGCCAGGAGGAAGGCGGGCGAGTTTGACGAGTGGCTGAGCGACAAGTTTGTCGAGGATTGGGGGGTTGACGTTGCTGATGATTCCAAGATGAAGCCGAAGCCCAAGGCCGAGGAGACGCAGGCAGCCCATGGCCAGGGCGAGCAGGCTGGTGTCCAGAAGCAAGGCTGCGGAGTGGAAACCATGTTGAAGGATGGCCAGGCCGAGGACGAGGCGGGGTATGGCGATTCGAACCACGCCATGGGCGAGCAAGCCTCGCATCACATTGTCGTCTTGTGATGCTTGACCTGCGGTTTTGGTCATTCGTCGTGGCTGTGACTCGTGAGTCTGTGACTGACAGCGTGACTGTGCCCGCCCCCCGAGCGCCTGCCTGCCTGGCTGTGAGCAAGGCAAGGCATGTGGGGCACCCTTTGACCAGTTGATCTTTTTGACATTTGGACGGCTTCAAAACGTCAAAACGTGGGCGATACATCAATCCCTGACAGTTTCCATTTCGTGCGTCGCTACGACTGCTGGCAACATGGTAGCCACGAGCAGTGTCCACAACCGATCGCACAGCCTGCTCCTGCTGCAGAAGCTGCTCAACCTCCGCGACTCGGCCAGTCCTCTGACGCTTGTCCACGACAGTCTGGAGCAGCCAGCGCAACCTGTGCTCGACGAGTACGTCCACCGCGCAAAGGTACGTCGCATGCCCCACGGCCGTTCAATGTCGCTAATGCAATGCAGATTTCGAAAACAAAAATCATTCTGCTCTCTTTTGCGACGGTCAAGAAGCCCCAGATGGTGGACATGATGATCAAGGCGGCCGGCAGGGACTTGCGACTTGTCGTCAAGGAACTGGTTGCGCATTATCCCGCCCATGATCCGAAACAGCCAAGAGAGAAACCAAATCAAAGTCGGTTTGCCTAAAAGAAAACAACAAAACAAGGTCGCAGCCACTGACACCCAACAGGGGCCATCATCCTCATCGACTCGCTCAACAACCTCGCGTCCACAGCCGCAAGCTCCCTCTCGCACTTCCTCTCCAGCATCCTGACTCCGGCAGTATCGCTAGTATCCGTATATCATACCGACGTGCCCATTCTACTACCACCTTCGTTCAACGAGTACGAACCACACCCCTTCACCGTCATGAACCACCTCGCTACCGCTATCCTGCGCCTCTCCAGCCTGCCTCAAGAAATCGACAGGCAAAAGGCACGCAACCGCGCCGTCCAAGAACCCGAGTGGGGCCTCAGGGAAGACCGCGAAGGCGTCCTCATAGGCCTCAGGCCAAGGGCCTCCGACCGGGACAGAGGCGTCGTCATCGACATGGAGCTGCGGCGCAAGAGCGGGCGGACAGTCACGGAAAAGTTCATCCTGCAGCGCCACCTGGCGGCTGCGGCAAAGTCGGGCACGGGCAGGATCACGCTGCTGACAGACCATGCCCTGTTCAGCCCGGTAGAGGCGGACCGCGCGGACGGGGAGGAGCCTGAGAGTACCTTTAACTTGGGCCTAACGGAAAAGCAGCGGAGGGACAGAGAGGGCATAGTGCTCCCGTATTTCGATGCGCAGACGGACATTGGGGCCGGCGAGGGCGGCAGGATATTGTACGAGATGGGGAGAGAGGACGACTTTGATGACGAGGAGGACGAGATTTAGCACGGAGGTACTGAAAATACCACTCTAGGAATTGCATAGAATAGGCGTCGCTGCCAGTTTGGACTGCTTCGTGTGCCCAAGCCTCACCGCGTCCCGGCGCGAGTCAAGGAATTGGCGAATTCTGGTGCAGTATGACTTATGGCAGAGCGTGGCGATCAAGGTGACGACTTGCCAGACAAGGCGCATGTGGGAGGAGCGCAGAGTCTGTAGGTCGATGAACAACCTCGCGGGTGCACGCGCTGACTGGTATCGATTTGTGACATAGTTGAGTACATATATCATTGAATAGCTTGAGTTATATTACTAGCAGCATTATGGCGTACGAGGATTCACAGATATGCCATACTAAGTTATGCAAGCAGAGTAACTACTTGTTTTGTAGAGTGCGAGGAGCGACGGAAAGATGCTGCTCCCGCAAAACCATCTCTGATGTTAGCCGTGGTCTTTTCAAGGCTGAAGCCGCCGGCGCTCATTAGCCGAGACCAGTTGGAAAGGCAGGCGTGCCTACTTACGGAGTTCATGAGAGGGATGTCCTTGATTCTCCGTACAGAGTACGTACTCCGCACTGCCGCGGCCAAACCTGCAGTGTGGCGCCCTCCCCTGATTGGCCCGCTTGGACCACGTCTCAGTTCCAACCCCAGCTTCGCCAGCAACGCCGGCAGACTCCAGGCAACAACATCGTCGACTCCCGGCACAATTCCACCAAGCTGCCCGGAGAGCAACAAGAGCTTTCCGCCGCACACGGCCAAAATGATCCTCTCCACCCAAATATCACGGCTCGACGGTACTTGCTTCCCTCGCTCCCCTCTCCAAACCCGTGCTCTTCCCCATTCATCCCACACACCGAAGCTGACCAGATGCACGCCAGGCCTCAACCTCTGCGCCTCCGTCGACGACTCCCCCGAGCCCCCGGCCCTCACGTCCCTCAAGTCGCAGGTGCGCCAGATCCTGCGCACCCTGACGCGCAACTCCACGCCTCAGGCGTCCATCGAATCCCCCCCCCACGCAATCCACTACCTCATCGACAGCGACGTCGTCTTCCTCTGCATCTGCGACGCCAGCTACCCGCGGAAGCTGGCCTTCACGTACCTCGCAGACCTGTCGCGCGAGTTCCTCACCACACACCAGCCGCAGCAGCTGCACTCCCCCTCCCTGCGTCCGTATGCCTTCATGGACTTTGACAGCTTCATCACCAAGACCATGGCCACGTACGCGGACGCCAGGGCCGCGCAGAACCTGGACAAGGTGAATGACGAGCTGAGGGATGTGACCAAGGTCATGACCAAAAACATCGAGGATCTGCTGTATCGAGGGGACAGCCTGGACAGGATGGGCGAGATCAGTAGTCGCCTGAGAGATGACAGCAAGAGGTACAGGAGGGCCGCGGTGAAGATCAACTGGGACTTGCTGATGAAGCAGTACGGGCCGTTTGCTGGGCTGGGACTCTTTGTCTTGCTCTTTATATGGATGAGGTTCTTCTAAGGCAAATGCCGGGGACGGGAGGGCAAGGAGAATGGCGATGTGGGAGACAATAAGAAACCCAGCCAGTTGCACAGGGATATGTGCCCTGACTAGAAGATGTCATTGGGGCGTTGATGGGCAGCGCGAGATGCATACACAGCACAGTGCCAGATTTGACGAACATGTACACTATTTCTTAATTTTGTTCAATCATAAGGTCGTAATGTGGTATCCATGCTCCATGTCGCCAAGACTCCCAAATCAAAGCCCCATTTTGCCCGTTCTCCTGACACCTTTTTTTTTTTTCAAGCTCCCGTCGGCTACATGATGGCGCAGTTGCTTGACCGCTGATCATTGGCAACGGCCTCGGCGTGCTGCCACTCCATGTGGTTCTGCAACGATGCTACATCCTCAAACTCGTCATCTGGCTTGTACAGTTCCTCGTCGTCGTCTTCGTCCTGCGGCTTCTTGGCTTCGTCCTCGCACAAGGGGCACAGCAGTCTCGCCTGCCAGTCGCCGCGCAATGGGGCCAAGTGGTTGGCGACTGCTATGGGCGGGAATACTACCTGCTTCTCCTGTGGGCCCGATGAGCTCGTGCCTGTAGCTTGCCAATGCTGGCTATGTCCTGGCCACCTCGGTTGAAACGCAGCTGTTCGTTGGGTAGGGACGTTTTCGAGATCCTCCCATATCAAGTGGCCGTCACAAAAGTCGCAGATGAAAACCATATCCTCGTCCCTGAAGCGATCAAAGGACCCTGTTCTCGTGCACGCGGCCAGCTCTTCCAACTGCCGCTTTTGACAGTCGGCCTCTGGCGTTTGCTGGTCCGGCCGGACCGCGACCTTGGCCTGGGCCCGCCGCACCAGAAATGCGCCCAGGCACCGTTGCGAGGACTCCTGCGACGACGCAAACACACGCCTGGCGGCTCGACACTGCGCGCGGTGTAGTTGTCGTTGGAGAGAATGAGTTTCCCGTACCCACACGGGATTGATTGGCCCGCCTGACCGACTCCAGTCTCTGAGGAGCTGAACATGAGCTCGAAACTTGTCGCGGAGGAGTCTCAGCTCTTGTATCGTCTCGTCTGAGCACGTTAGCAGCAGCGCTCGTCACCGACTCCTTCCCGACGGACACCAACCTCCACGGCAAGGGGTCACGTACACGTTCGGTCATGCTCGTATTGGGATTGCCCGTTGACCAACGGACATAGCTCCTGGAAGTCCTTCTTGGCGTCGTTCAGAGCCGCCTCGAGCGCCTGGACGTGTTCGTACTCGTCTTGACGCCAATGCGTCTTGTCGGCGAGGCTAAATATGCGTAGTCCCTCAAGAAGGTTGTTTGCGACGTCAGCCAGCAGCGTGCCCACGGAATCGAAGCCGCTCATTGCGAGCGTGCCCTATGCACCCCGAGATGACCCGTCACTCGAAGCGGTTCCCCCCAGCGGGACCGATTGAGCTCTTCGCCGCGAGTCCCAGCCAAAGAACAGGTGACGGGCCCAAGGCGAGATGGGAGAAGATGATTATAGCCTCGATCGCCCGGCGAGCACCTCCGGGGTGCGCATGGAGGAAGTGTGGTCGAAAAGAGCCGCGGGTGCCAGACTGGCATACGGAGCCTGGGCTGGATGTGGACGTCGGGGTCCACTGGGTCTCGAGGCCGCGAGCGGCGTGGCAGTGACGAGGGACCCGGCGTTGGAGCTATGAGCAGCACTGCAACTTTGTCGACCATCCGCAATTGCAATTGGGGCCAAAGTTGATCCAAACGTCAGCAGAGGCGGCATCGACGACGCAGGAGTGAGTGAGGCAAGGCGATGGAAGGGGGGCTGGCTCCTGGGCCAAGATGCACGGGTCGCTCCTTCCACGATGCAGTTCCAGTCAATTCCATGTGACACGGTGACTGCCGGGACCCGTCTCCTCCACCCTCATAATTTCTGGTTTCCTGTGCCTCACGTGCCTCTCGGGCCCGGCAACAAATGGAAACAAGCCAAACGATGCGGTGGCATAAACGGACTCAAGTCTGCCATTGACCAACATTGCCGGCCTTGTCCGAAGGAACCGTCGATGCGGGCATGTTTCCGAAACGCTCATTAATCGCTAATCGCTTCAAGCCATGAGTCGTCAATTCCGCGCTGTGGAGTACGTCGAAGGCCCGCCAAACGTGCATTACCCTTGCCAACGCGCCCGAGTCACGAATCGGCTGGTTGCCCGAGCCTAGTACGGAGTACAGGGCGAGCTGTTGAGCTTGGCCATTCTCAGGGGACAGGGGGACGATGCTCCAGACTCGCTTCAGCCTAGGAGTAAACAGGACATGCCTACAGTGGGAGGTCCGATTTCAACGAGAGTATGATGAAAGCGTGCTATTTCCTTGCTCCTACGTGAATCTAAGCTGACGAGTGGAGGAAACTTGCACCTCGCTGCAGCTCTTTGTATTCTCTCCGCTTCAACGCCGGTTGACAGCTCCCCAGATGACCTAACGTGGCGTTGACGCTATCTATAATCTGACGATGCTCATCTTCCCATCGGACTATCTTAGTACCCAGCGGGCGCGTGCGTGCTACGGTACGCACAAGGCCTGTGAGCGGCTGACATGGTGTCGAGGGCGGCTGTCTATTCGTTGTTGAACCAACAGACGGAAAAGTGATTACGTGTTGGCAGAAAATTGCAAGGTCAACTGCACCACGCAAAAGTGGAACGCGCTCCAGCAATTGGAGACGCAAATTGACCTTATATTACTCTGCGCAATTACACAAGAGCGCATGCACCCCTAGATAGTTGATTTTTTCGGCTGACACACCCCCCCAGCTTTCAGCGCTCTCAGCAGTTGTAAGCTGTATAAGTTGTAAGTTGTAAGTAAATATAGTTGAGCAATATGCTGTGCTGTTATTAGGTAGGAATTTTTTTTTTGTCGCCTATAATAGTTGTAGTAATAGTTGTTGTTATAGTTGTTGTTATAGTAGGCCCTTATAAAATTGTAAATATAACGGGGTTCGAACATGCGACCGTGGCAGCGCAGGGCCTGCCGCGACCGGGCTCATAACTGTTGGCAAAAATTGCAAGGTCAAGTGCACCACGCAAAAGTGGAACGCGCTCCAGTTTTGCGTGGTGCAGTTGACCTTGCCATTTTCTGCCAACATTACGGACCCTTATAGAGCTGTTGCTGTCCCCTGCTTGCAATGCCGGCTTGCTTGACTGGGTGACTGAGTGCACAATCAAGGCTCGCGAAAGCTCCCCGTGACTGAACTGCTCGATCCCTTCCACATTCTTGTTCTAAACAGTCCTCCCGCTCGGCCAAGATTTCGCCTCGTACAGCTCCATTATCAAATCTGTATTCTTGTCGCATAGCACAAAAGTGTGGCGTGGTGTGGCAATTCTCATTTGACGTTGATATAATCCGCACAGCCAAATGAGCAAGGGTCAGGGCCAGGATCTTCCATGAAGCTGAAATGAAATTTGAGGGCGGCAAACTTCTGCGACCCCGTCAGACTTGTCGGTAATAACCTTCCCATGAATTTTGACCATGCAGATTTTACCAACGAGCAGATGTAATACCCCCCGGACTTTCTGCGGCAGAAAATAACACAGGGGCAGGCCGACGACCGGAAGCTGGATGACTTGGGAAGCGGGAGCAATAGGTCAAGGCTTTGGCTTGGGAAGAATGGAGCAGATGCATCGTCTTATCATCAGGAATGATGAATCATCCAAAGGCTTCAGCGCCAGGGGACCAACCGTCATTGTTTCAACATACGGAGTAGTGGAATCAAATTACTATTTCACGAATTAGGCAGGGCCGGCATGCCTCTCAAACTTTTGCTCGCACACGTAAAGCAGAAGCGAAGCCAATAGAGGCAACACCTGACTATTTACTTGACTCATCTCCCAGCTGGTACAGTCGAGGAACACTGAGGATGCGGACGAAGTCTCATATGCCGTGAAGTCACCGGCGGCCATTCCGACAGAAATGACCAGCAACGAGCCAGGATTGACCATCTGGCCCCGGAGCTGTTTTGCCTCCCGCGGACGACCTTTGGAAAGTTACTGTCGGCCAAACTCACAAGAATAGCTCTTTTGGCCCTTTCAAACTTTTTCCGCGTTTGCCTCTTCAGACCTCTTGTCTGCTGTCTGGCAATCCCCGGTCTTGACTGTCGAGGGTCCTCGAAGATGAGTGGACACCTTGCCATGGCGCAAGCGTGTGCGAACATGGTTTTCATGGCGACTTTGGGCCCGTCGCCAAACGTTGTGAAAGTACTTGACGATGAGCGCGGGGACGGGTGGCTGCCGCTCCGCGGCGGAGTTGATGAGTGTCTCGATAGTCAGCGTCTTGCCACGATGCCGCGCTTCCATGGGACTCGCATGGAGGCGTACAGCTCGCGGCTGTCAAGAAAGAACAGCGCGTCCCTCTCCAGACTATTCTTGAGGGAGGGGCTTGGATGATGTCCCCCATGAGATGCCCCGGACGCTCTTGAACATTTCGGCTGATTTGGTCCATGTCGAGTCGTCACATTTCGTGGTGGAGGGTCTTGGTGCCGGCTCCTGCGGCTAGGACGTCGATACACTCGTGGTTCGCGCCTTTCCCTTGGCATTGTCGTCGGCTGGCGCTAGAATGTACAGATGCCGTATGGGGTAATCGAACTTGTTTGGAAAGCTGATTTGAAAGACGACAGAGTCATATTCGTTCCAGGGGTAGCTCCAACGGCGGAAGCGGATGTTGCCCCTCAGGGTGCCTGGACCTACACCGGGAGACATACTTTCGGAGAAGCAGATATCGAACGACTCGCTGCATTCAATGTCGCTGGACTTGGAGTTCCGTAAATTGAAGCCTGCGTGTAGATGCAACATGTTAGACGCAAATCCGATTACATCGCAAGGCAAGTTGTTGGTCCGCATGATGCGGTATCCGAGATAGATGTCACGGAGTATTTACATGGTTGTCAGATCGGTGTCTCTACGGGGGTAGGCTGCCATGTTGCTTCCGAGCGTCGAATACGGGTTGGAAACTCGTGTCGGTCAACGGGTCTCATTCGCACGGAGAATGTCGGGATTACAGCCAAAGTCTCTGCGTCCTTTTACCCCAAGTATCAAGAAGGGGAAGAGTCTAGAGGAAACCCTATGCGAATTGTGAGGTTTGTTTCTCAACAGGATCCGACTCTGGGGACAAGCAAAATTTATACAAATACGTGCCCCAAGATATGATCCTGCTCCGCCGCCTTCTGCAATGACGGTGTAGCCTACAAAGAGAATATTCGACCGCCTTGGACTGAAGCAAGGGGCGTGTGCATGTTCTTTTGCCTCGCTCTTCTTCATGACGAATGAACCGAGGCCGACTGCTTGCGGCCCAACTCTGCCTAGCTCTCGCTGGCGCACGCAAAATCATGTTGCGTAATAGTCGCCGATCATCACTGCGCTTCCAAGGTTGAATGACACTCAGCACTAGATCTCTCTAATTCAGGCCTTCGAAGGGGTCAGCCGCGACTTTGCAAACGCACTTGGAGCCGACCGAAGATGGGTATTATTAGGCAGAGAACATGGGGTTTATATAGCAATGCCTCAACGATTTTCTGTAAAAGTCGCCAAAGAGAGCTCCCACTGCGAGGGCTGCTGACTCCCTGCTAATATGCCTTATAGAACGGAGAGAACTGCCTATAACAAACTCAAATAAACGAGGAGGAACGTCGTATCGTCAAGGGCAGGGCTGCCGGGACCGGCCATGATGAGCGCGAGCTTTATGCACGCTGTGTGTCGTGCTATGCTGTGGCCCAAGCTATGCGATCCGTTGACGAGTGTTTCCTCAAATCGACAACTCACAATGTTTCACTAGAAGGGCTGGCGTGACGGGAAATGAAGGCGTGGGCGCTTCAGCTTCCTTGTGCAACTCTATGACAAACGAGAAGCGGCCTCTGTTCGCACCACTTTCTGCATGACACCACGCCGTGCTATGAGCAAAACTCGCAGAAAGACCTCACCAAGCACCTGGACAGACGTGTGTCTCTGTTGGACGCTTATAGCCACGACGGTGCCAAAGTGCCAAAATGGACGGATCGGACGAGCTCGCCAGTCATGGCCATCGTAGGCGGAGGTATCGCGGCTTGCGTCCAGGCAATCTATTTGGCGACAGAGTATCCCTGGCTCCGAATTCACATGCTGGAAAAGCACAAAGACATACTGAGTGGAACAAGCGGCATTAGCCCAGGAAGCTCAAATTTGGGGTTTCACTACCGTCACCTGGAGACTGCTCTCTTCTGCCAAGATGCCACGGTCAGATTCTCAAGGTTCCTCTAGAGAATTGGATGTCCCTGCATTTTTACCGAGGCACCGCAACGTGGAATATACGGCCTCATCAAGGGCCCTGTGCAAACCCTAGGCAGTGCCACGAAGTGGGCCAGTGCTGTTGGAACGAACGAGTCCACAAGCCACACGAGGGACATAAATCTACTACACTATGTGTAGGAACAGATCATTTGACGACCGAATTCTGCAGTCCTGACGCGTGCATGTGCAGTCTTCACTACTAGCGCACCAAGACTGCAGAATCTAGGCTTTAGTCTCGGGAGTCGGGACCGAAAAGGACGTGGGCCGTGCTGGAATAGATGACACTGTTGCGGACGAGTTCTGCCCAGCCGTCGTGAAGCAGGGCGTCTGGACACCAACTCGGGAGCTATTCCTCTTACATATAATGAGGGCAGGCCTCATTACGTAGACGTGCTAAATAGAGCTCAAGCCGGGGTGGCGTGACGCCGGTCCAAGTCTTCTGCTCCTGGATTGGGGGAGCGGCGTTCAAGCTTGGGCGAGTCAGGACCACGACTCTACGCCCAAATGTCAGGATTCCGCTCGACTGGCTACTCGCCAAGTTCATGAAGCCGCAAGTGAGCATGACGAGACAGACCCCCCCTGCAATCGTGCGTGTGAGGACTGACGCCGGCTCAAGGAGAGAGCGCTCCGACCCGATGCCCAGACAACGCGGACTGGTTGCCCTTTGGTTGCACCAGATGCCACCGAATGCAATCGACACGCTCAGGAAAGCCTGGACCATCTAAACAACAAAGACACTGCACTGGCATCGACTACTGACATGGCGCAAACTTGTAACTTCTGGCATGTAGGCCCTACTGGCACGAATCAACCTGAGGGTTTGGCTGGAGGTGACTGACCCAAGCACGACTCGAAGCCGGGACGCCAACATGCGAGTATTAAGGGTCGGAGACGAGTGGAAACATATGAACATTTGGCATTATCATTCAAACCTGTTTCCCCTTTTGGCCCAGCCTGAAATGTCGAATCGCTGCCTCATCACATTCCCCCAACCTCATCTCCCCCAATGCCCACCAAGCCGAGTCGATCTCTAACCAGAAGCGGCGTGGAATTTTTCGACGGCTCAGAACCTAAAAAAATATATTTCCTTTTGGTTAGCCCCACGTGAAAGTCACGGGTCGGCTAAGCAGGTGCGGTGACAAGGAAAACCCCCAAGGGCAAAAAAATGTACCCGACTTCCCTCAACAATCCTCACCTCTCCGAAGGATGACACAAAACATCATTGCACAAAGTGCTCAGAAGGGTTGCGTCTTCGTCACTGAAGCTCGGCGAATCACAGAAAAGTCCATACCTTGGATTTGAGAGCGTGAGAAATCATCAATGATGCGACACAGCCGTTTTTGGTCGGTTCCAAGCAGGATCTGACCAGGAAAGCACAGTTCCAACTGTTGTCTGAGATGATTGATGGAAAGGATAGTCGACGTTGATGTACGAAATGAGGATGCAGAATGGGAGGAGAAGGTCTTCTGGAGACGACGACGACGACGACGACGACGACGACGACGCGATGGAGAGGACAAATGATCACCGCCCATGAGACAATGGAAGAAACGGACGGGGGCATGGGCTGTAAACAGGATATGGTTGAGGATGTCCACGATGATAGACAAGAGAAGAAGAAGAAGAAGAGGGGATGGAAACGGGTCGGTAAGTGAGAGAATATATATATTCAACATGTCGGGTTCTTTCCGTTCGTTTATTTCCACGTTTCCATCTTTCCCTCTTCTTCAAAAGCACGCTGAAGCCGTCACGGCAGGCTGCGAGGGCGCAAATCTAGGAAAGGACGTACGTATATCCATTGATGACAACGGTGGGAGGTGCTTCTTTCCGGCTTCAACGTGACCGAGACGCGTCTCCCGCGCCTTCTGTTCTGTTCATCACACGTCTACAGGACTCCATCTCAATTGCCAATCCTACAGGAAAAAACAAGCCCGGAAACCCAGCCCTGCCTGAAAGGCGTCGCACTCACTGTTTCCCTGACAATCCGGGTTGACGAGCTGACTGGACTGCGAGCAAGTCAACACGGCAACTGGATTGAAGGCAAGCTCGCAGCGAGGGCAAGAAGGAAAATTGCAGTCGCAGCACACACGGAGCTGAAGAGTACCGCGAGACTCGGATGATGCAGCCTTTGGCACGAGTGTATTTCTTGGCTTCACGTGCGCTGTGGCCGAGAATGTCGACACCATGGCCATCCGCAGCAGGTTTATTTCCAACGATTTCAAGCAGCATTCCAGCTATAACGTCGATTGCCAACTCCGGGAGATATAAGGAATACTCTGCTACGCACAGAAACTGTGACTGACATGGCTATATTCACAGGCAAAGGTAGGAGAATCGAGTGTAGGAGAGCTGTAGCTACGGGCAGTTCAGTGGTCCGGGTTTATACCAATGTGTGTACGAGTACCACGCGCAGAGGGTCGAGACGTCGAGGTGGAAAACACGGTCCCCTCACTATCTTGCCGCAAGCTTGTGGAAGGGGACAGTTGGATATAGAAGAACGTAATCGATTGCTCGGAGCTATGGAAAGATCGAGGGTGTACGTGCCGACAAAATCTGCGAGGCTGGATACATGTTGCAGCTCCTGAGATATCACTGAGCGAGACGTTGCAGCATCACTATGCAAGCCGTCAAAATACACGCACCGGACTGGAAATGCAAGTCATGGCAAAGGCTAAGATTCAACCTTGACTAATGTACACCAACGCGCACCCGAGACTAGTCATCCCTTGGGAGCCCAGCCGCTGAAGTTTTATCCAAGAAAAAAGGACCTTGAAGAAGCGAGCATTCTTCACGGCCGTACCAAAAATGCCCAGATAAAACTACACCAACAATACCCAACATTATGACGAGCGATCAGACGAAACAAAACGAACTCCGGCAACCAATCTAACGTACATGGACCGACTTTCGACCTTGAATGCGGCTATTCTCACACACGACCCGTTGAAATGAACGAAATGAAAAGCCCAATCTGCCAAACAGGCTCTCCTCACACACTGGCCGCGTCACTCCCCTCCTCCCGTCCGTGTACTTACGTTCCCCCGACCGGCACTCATTACTTGTCAGCCCGGGAAGTCCTGCGAAACCCCACAAGGGGCAGCCTCGACCTGAGCAACAAACTGCTGCATATGACGCTCACGCTGCTCAGGGCCATGGCCAGGCTGGCCCAGACCGCATCCAGGCGTGTATGCGACCCGTTGGTCTTGATGGGATACAGCACGCCGGCGGCTATGGGAAGCGCGACCAGGTTGTAGACACTAGCCCAGGCAAAGTTGAACTTGACGCGGCGAAAGACGGCCCGGCTGAGCTCGACCAGCGTCAACAGCGAGCCGAGGTCGGACTTGATCAGGACAAAGTCGGCCGCCGAGATGGCGACGTCGGAGCCGGCGCCGATAGCGATGCCGACATCGGCGGCCGTCAGCGCGGGCGAGTCGTTGACGCCGTCGCCGACCATGGCCACGACGGCTCGCGTCTCGGCGCCGCCACCGAGGCCGAAGGGGAGCGCGCCGCGCCGCCGCCCCGGCAGGCTGCCCTGGAGATACTTGACCTTGTCGGCCTTTTGCTCGGGGAGGACGCCGGCGATGATGTGGTCCGGGGCGATGGAGACCATGGCGCCGACGGCCCGCGCCGTGCGGGGGTTGTCGCCCGAGATCATCCACACGTCGACGCCACGCGCGCGCAGGGCCTCGATGACGGGCCGAGACTCGGCGCGCACGGGGTCCGACGTCGCAAACGCCGCGGCCGGCGTCCAGTCGGGCGAGCCGACGTCTCTCGTCGCCACGAGCACGACAGACTTGGCCTGGTCCTTCCAGGACTCGAGGGCCGACGCGACGGCGGCGCCGAACACGACGCCGTAGTCGGCCATGAGCGTCTCGTTGCCGACAATCAGCTCCGTCGGGGGCGACGCGTCGTCGTCAGAGGAGACGAGGGCGCGCATGCCCTTGCCCGGCAGCTCCTGGACCTCCTTGGGCGCCGGGCCGTGCAGGTCTCTTTCGTCGCAGTAGGAAACAAAGGCCTTTCCGATGGGGTGGCTGCTGTTGCGCTCCGTCTCTCCGAGGCTGGCGAGGAGCTTGTCCCCTCGCCACGCGCCGGCGGCGTCGTCGAAGAGTTGATCGGTGAGTTTCAGCTCGCCGCCCTCGGTGAGGGTGCCCGTCTTGTCGAAGACGACAATGTCGATGCTGCTGGCCTCCTGGAAGGCCTCGCCGCCGCCCTTTGCGAGGATGCCGTGCTGGGCAGCCAGGCCGCCGCCGACAAAGAGGGCCGTCGGGGCGGCGAGCCCCATGCCGCAGGGGCACGCGATGACGAAGATGGCAATGGCGAACTGCAGGGACCAGAAGGGCCAGCCGCCGGCCCTGGCGTCCATGTAGTCGGCGGGGAGCCGGCCCGAGAGGCCGAGGCCGAGCCAGGTCAGCCAGGCGACGATGGCGACGAGGGTGACAAAGGGCACGAAGTAGCCGGTGATGATGTCGGCGAGACGCTCGATGGGGGCGCGCTTGGACTGGCCCTGGCGGACGACGCGGATGATGCTGTCGAGGAGCGAGTCGCCGGCAGCGCCGTGGATGCGCATCGTCACGGGCGCGCCCTTGTTGATGGTGCCCGAGTAGATGTCGTCGCCGGCCGACTTGCGCACCGGCCGGGACTCGCCCGTGAGGCTGGCCTCGGCGAACTCGGCCTCGTCGTCGAGCAGGACGCCGTCCCACGGCGGCGAGCCTCCGTGCACGACGACCACGGTGTCGCCCGCCTCGAGCGTGTCGATGGGGACCGTGGTGGTGCGACGCGAAGGGCGGGAGGAGTCATGGCCGACGGCGCCCGAGGGCGTCACCAGGAGGGCCTCCTTGGGCCGCAGGTCGCCCAGCTTCGTCACGGCCTCGCCAGTCTTTGCCTTGCTGTAGGCTTCGATGATGCGGCCCGAGAGCAGGAACATGGTCAGGAAGATGACCGAGTCGAAGTAGGGCGACCTCTCGGGCCCGGCCGTCGCCTCCTCCTGCGTCGCCGCGATGGCGAGCTCGGCAATGGACCCGAAATACGCAATCGTCGTCGCAAACGACACCAGCATGTCCATGCTGCCGAAGCGGTAGAAGCGGCGCAGCAGCGGAACCGGGCTGCCAGGCCTCCACAGGGCGTAGATCTCCTTGATCACGCGCCGGTGGAACAAGTCGGCGCAGAAGAAGTAGACTGGAGTCGCGATGACGAGGAGAGACCACTCTGCCCGCGACACGCCGTTGAGCTTTTCCGCCAAGTACACCCGGCTCGGGTTGTTTTCCGGAACCAGCATCAGGTACACGACCCCTATGATCAGGGCAGGAATAGCCGCCGCGACGGACAGCAGCAGACGGTAGAGGATTCGCCTGCGGCTTCGCGCGTGCATCTGCCTGGCGCGCTCCTCTACCGTGGGAGGGTGGTAAATGGTTGGGCGGAATGCCGCGTCCGCCTCGGCTATGGCGGCGAGGATGGTTCTCACGGTGAACCCGGGAGCCTCGGGAGTATACGAGACGCTCATGATGGGGTTCGACAAGGTCGGCGCCTCGTCGACGTCCACGTCCCGAGGCACGGCGGCGACGGCGGCGACGGCCCGGGCAGGGCAATGCTCGCAGTACATGTCGCCGATGAGGATCTGGACGCTCCGCCGGCCGCCGCGCGCCTCGCCTCGACCCGTGTTGACCAAGTCGCCGAGGCTGGCATCGTAGCCGGCATCGGCAATCGCGGCCATCACCTCGCCCAGGTGCGCCCTTCCCTCGAACGTCACGACGGCGCTGCTGGAGAGCAAGTTGACATCGACCGTCCTCGTCCATGCGAGGCCCTCGACGGCCGTGGTGATTTTTCCTACGCACGAGCTGCACGTCATGCCGCCGATGGAAAGCTCGGCACGCCACAGGTCTGACGAGCCATCCCGGTCCTTGGGCGACGACGCCGCCAGCTTCTCGACCTGCTCGACCTTGGCGTCGTAGCCGGCGCTCTCGATAAGCTCAACAATGTCTTGCTGCTTGTCGGCGCCGCGGAAGCGCACCACAGCCGTCCGGGTCATCAAGCCGACGTCGGCGGCCTCGACCCAGGTCTGCGACATGAGCGACTCCGTGATCCTGCCAACGCACGAACTGCAGCTCATTCCGTCCACGGTGACGGTCGCCTGATATATCTGCGGCGGAGCGGAAGCTGCCGAGTCCACGACGACGACGGGCCCTCGGGACGCCCCGTCCTCGGACCGCGGTTCGTCGCCGCCATGCGAGGCATCCGACGCAGTCCCAGCCGCGGAAGCCTTTTTCTTGACGCGACACTCTCTGCAGTTGTCCATGTGACGCCTCCTGGCTCGCTTCTGCCCCAGCCAGCCCCCTAGATTCCACGGCCTCGCGGACTGGCTGAACCAGCCGCCGATGACAAAGTCGTCGTCGGCCGCGGCCGCCTTGCCGTACGACTGCACCGTCGCCTGGGACTCGGGGTCTGCCGCGACGGTGTGCACCTCGTAGCCCGACTCGCCCAGCGCGCGCACCATCTTGGCCACGGCGGCACGCGGCCCATGTCGGATTGTCACCCTGTGCGAGATGATGGATACCTCAACGAGCGCCTCTGCGTCGATCTGCTTGATCAGCGTCTCGATGAACGACGCACACGTCGGGCAATGGATGCTAGGCACGAGAAGCGTAGTCGTGAGCGGGTGCGTCGAAGCGCCCAGCGACGGGGATCGGGAAGCCATCTCGACGATTTCCACGATGTTTGCGATATTCTCAAAGCTTGACTCGGCAGAAAGTATGTCTTGTCTCGAACGGAGCTGATTGTGATTGCGGACGATGAAGAAGGCCGGCAAGGGTGCGAACGATTAGGTAAATATAGTCTTGACTGCTTCCAGTAGCCTGCACCACGCATCCGTTCTCGCGTCTTCCAGACGTCCCGGGACGCTGACCAATTCCATCTGACAAGAAGAACAAGGGATTCCGAGCACTAATACCGCAAGGCTTGTCGTCATCGTTGCTGTCTATCGGGCGTCTCGCCCGTTTGGCGCCGAGGTTGCGAGATTTGTGCGTCGCGTCGTCGCCAACGCAACGCGAGGTGGCGCCGACTTGTGGCTTGGCATGGCGGCTCAGCCACATCGTTGAGCATCATGTGCGGCGCCACGGGATGCTGTTAAGGGGAAAAGGGGCAAACTTGGCCATAGAAACCCAGAAGAAACAAGCATCAATAACACCTAACAAATGCAGATTTATTATCAAGGTTGGCTAGCAGGCTCGCGCGTCGGCCTACCCAACCTTGTTGACGCGGCTATTCTCGAGTCCCCAACACTACTGGGCGGTGCGCCTCGGCGACTCCTTGCCTCGCCTCTTTGTTTGATACACCAGCCAAACCCAACCTGGTGGGTGACGGCTTGAGTTGAGGCCCTTGGACAAATTAGTTATACCTCGTGAAATCTTGACATGTTGCTCTGCCACGGGTTCCTGCAGCACCCAGCCGGCCGGACGCCACTGGGCGAATATGGGCTTGAACCACAAAACGCGACGGCGCCAAGTTCCAACCATGTTGACACATGTCGATGCAAGGTCGTGGCCTTTTTCACAATGGGCTAGTAACTAGTCGTTAATCGTTACATGACCAGTCTCCCTCACGCACACTCCCGTCCTTTGAAACCCAGTCGATAGCACTCCCGTAAAACGACCCTGCTTATCCAGCTACCACCAGCCATGGTCACCAGAGTCTCCCACTTGGCGGACGCGCCGTTCAACAACCAGAACCCTCTCCCCTCCAAAGAAGGGCACGGGCAGCCCAGACGGAACAGAAACGTCTCTGGCTCAACAGCCAGAGTACCCAGGGAACTGCCCGCAGCACACACGCTTGCACCACGCCTCGCAGTTTTTGATGGCACACCCCGGCGTGCAGGTAGTCATGCAGCCAGGCCAGTCGGTGTATCTCTTGTCGAGTTCTTGCACGGGGCTGGCGAGCGCGAGTCCGGCAAAAGCAGCCGCCACCGCGAGCGTGGGCTTCATGGTTGCTGGCCCCAAAATAAAAACGGACGTGGAAATATGGAAACAGTGACAAAAGACGCCTGCCTTCGCAAGGGTCAGACTCGAATGGACAATGGTCGAATGGACAATGGTCCAGCCGTCGAGTGGGAGCAGAGAGAAGCTGATATTTATGCATTCCGTGTCATGGCCGTGCCCGGGCTCTCTCTCGTCCACACTCACCTGATCAAGCAAACGCATGCAAACGCAACCCTTTCTTACGTGCAGCCAATATATAACCACATGTAGGATAGGATGGCTGAGCGCCGCCAATCAGCGGCCCTGGTGCCCGTGGGAACACGCCATTGCCGCTCCGCCGAGGACGAATCGGGACCGGAAGCTGCATAAACGAGCCAGACGTGTCCCTCTTTGCCGGCTATTACTCCGAAAGTGGTCCGGCATCTCGCCGCAAACGCCGGGGGCAGCGGCTGCACACCATTGTGCTTTTCGGCGTTGGCTGTTCTACCCTTGCCCCGACAGCTGCCTCGGAAGGTTTGTAGAGTGCATATTCCACGGCAACCAAGGTCCCGATAAAGTCTACGCAGTGAGGGCCGGGAGTCGGAGAAACAGTCAAGCATGGTTCGAGGTTGGCTCTGACCACCGGTCCGGTGCCTCGTCACGACTCACGACTCACAAGTCGCGTCGTGACCGGTCTGGAGTCTGGTGCAACCTCGTCGGAGTCACATTGCACCTGTGCGTTGGACGATGCGTCCACGCTCTGTGGGTGCTGGGGCTACCACGCGAGTTGCATGCTTCTGTTACATCCAGAGGCGTGCCGCCGAGTGTGGACGGGGCCGTAGTGACGGTGCTTGGAGCAGTGAACCGATTCCACTGTGGTAACACCCTTGACACTCAGCGTCCTTGAAGTGCTGGGTTTCCCGAGACTCTTGACGTCCGAGGACTTCTGCCATGCAGCCCTCTCCTGCCTTGGGTCTCGTGATGATGGCCCTTGCACTGTCGTGCGAAACCGAGGCGGCAGAAGCACACTCTTGGGCGCAACTAGGGCGGCTGTGAGAATTGATTAGCACATTAAATCTGGCAGAATCAACGGCCGTACTTGCTGGGGACACTCGGAGAGGAGAATCATGGCTCGACAAAGCAGCAGGAAGCTAGCTGTAAGTTGTCAAATCATAACGGCAACGTGGGATCTGTTGAAATAGAGGATACCCTCCGTACAAGTACATTTTCAGCCCTTGTGTAACTCTACACTACACGTGACTACTCGCACCTCCCAACAGCATCTGAAATGCAGTGGAAAAAGTGTCTCACCTTCCCGTGTCAGTCACTCCAACATACTTCGGCCTTCGCCACCGACACCACGATAAGCCACGCAGGCAAAGCCAGGAGATCTCGATGGCCTACAGAGCCTCGGGTGTCGAGATGATGACCTACGTACTCTGGGTCCTGGCTTCGTAAGCAGAAGCACTCCCGCAGTGGGATCTGGGGGAGCCCAAAGTTTAAGGTTTGTCGGGATTGGATTTCCACCCAGTGAACGACTAATAGTGGCTGCAAGCTGTCTGCCTCCCTCGTTTGCTCGTTTCTAGGAAATCTGCCGCAACCGTAACATTTAGACAAGTCTGCTGATGGCCTCTTCACGTCCACCGGCGGAACTGCAAAGCGGAGCACAATTGCCAGGAGCAAAAGACTGAGTTCTCCACCTTGGGCTACTTCAAGATCACGACGCAATGAATCTACATATAGAGTACAAGAAGACACAAACCCGAGGTGAGCGCCGTGAACTTGGACTGCTAATATTACGACTGGGACGAGGATTTCCGAGTTAAATAGTTACTTGTATATTTTGCCGTATGTTCATTGTCGAATAACTTATATAGTTGGTATAAGGCTTACTCTTGCCTATTTCCTCGGTTACTCATAGTGCATTCGGGAGCAAAGGTATCGAGGCTATACGGCTTATTGGCACGAGAAGAGGGTACGTATGCCTTCTTATGCCCGCTACCACGTGATGCAACCCTCCTTCCCGAGTGCCTTGGGGGCATACGAGCCGCGACGTACTGGCTTAAACAATTGCATGCCTCGTATCGGGCTAGCACTCTACGGCCACAAAGTCGGCGTGCAGAACAGCATGGCTCGGATTCTGTCCGACACATGTCTGCAAGAGAGCGATCCAAAGTCATGACACGGTATCCATCGAGTCGGTGGTCACGACAAGAAACAATGGATCGACCACGTTACGCCCCTCACGCCAAAACTCGGCAATTGCGCTTCCCTTGTACCTGCGTTTCCGGCTTTCAAAAGGCCATGCAGCATCCTGCCTTGCAGGCACATGGGCTGGCATGGATCGTACTGATGATGGGGAAAAGGGTACAGGATGATGTAAGATTGGGGTTCTAGTCAGAATCGTTTGTTTGAGGGGGGTGAGCCAGAGATGCAACCAAGCCACAAGTGAAGGACATCACGGGACGGCGAGGCCCCCAATGTGGCCTTTAGACAACGGCATACGGCGAGTCTCATGGCCTGAGCTTTCCGTCGTTCATCAAAGCTCGATCCTGGCCCAGCTGACGGCCCAGCACACGTATCCAGCTTCCTGGGCCTGGTTCTCCGTCCTCACAGAGGACCGCGTTGCCTTGTTGACTGCGCATCGAGAGACTCCAGAAACGCATCTGGTCCGACCGAGCATGGGGGCTCGTACGACGGAATTGACGTGTGCCCAGTGCCGCAAATTGCAATTTAAATCCGGGCCGCAGCAACGATGCACAAGGCTGGCAAGGCGCAACGGTAGCTGGCCGCGGCTTATGCAACGCGCACGCCGTGTCGGACACATCAGCCCGATCTGGGAGTTTCCGTCTTGTATGGTCTCCTTGGGGACGCGTGCTGGAAGTGTCGGTCCCCCTTTTGTCCAGGCTGCATGAGCTTCAAGGCAGCCGCTTTCTGGCGGCGCCTTGCACGACATCTAGACCACCGCACAGGGTGGTTCGAAACAGACGAGACACGATTTCTACACCTGCAGCAGCTCTGTTTCAACAACAGCCCGACAAGGATCGAGTGTCGATCCCTCTCTCATCGCATACGGGGTGCCGCATGCCACATGGCGAAGGCCGGGTTGCAGCCTCATGTCCGGCCGTCGTTGCTGCGTGTCTTACGACCGCGATAGCAGAAGGAGACGAAGACCTTGTGCGAGATGATAAATAGCTGTTTCGACCCAGACAGCGTTGCCTATTACTCTCCATGTCATGTATTTTTCCTCTAAGCCCGTCGTTTTGGTTGCAACGCCTCTTTCCGTTGCTATCGCTGAATATATCCTGGCCAAAGTCACATCACAACATGTCGAGCCAGTCGAGCCAGTCCATCTCGTCTGTCGTTGTCGAGCTCGGGAGCAGCTGCGGCTCTGAGACCAGCCAGCTTGTGCAGCAAAGTACACACTACACGTAAGTCACTTCTGAAAACCTTGGTCAATTCTTTCGTTTGCTCGCAGCCTTTTTTCCTTTCGGAGCCGTTTCAGACCGTATAACGCTCTGCAGCACGGGCGCTTTGAGACTCGGCATGCTTCCTGTTCTCTTCGGTTCCTAAATTGCCGCTTTATACCCGCATGTCATATATCTTGGCGTGCGCTGCCCTCCTGTTTGATTTTCCATTTCTTGCCATGGCGCTTCGGCGTAGCTCTCTACTGTCGGGCAACGCGGCTTCTCATGCTGTTTTACAGGTCGAATTCGAGCCCTTGCCACCCGCTGGATCAAGTTCCCAATACAGACCTGGCGTGTCTGGGATACTTTGTCTATGAAATTCGAGAAAGCGAGATGCCCATCAGTGAGCGGCTCGTCAAGAGGCAATTTGAGTAGGTCATTGTTCTTGTACGGCATCAGCTTGGGGGAGCTCGGAGCATGTATGATATTCGAAAACGGGAGACAAGGCCGAGTGATTCCATGTTCATTTTCCAAATTATGTGGTTGTATCCCTTGGGTTTAATCGTACAGCAAAGGGGCAATATTCTCCAGCTTAATTAATTGTGTTGACGTTGTGCTTCTAAATTATCAACTGTAACAAGGGCTAGTCTGTGTGATTAGGCCTCGGAGCAAATAACTTATATTTATATATAATATTATATAGGCTTTAAGGTCTTTAGTTTCTCTATCTAATAGACATAACTCATAAGAGCTTTGTATATAAGATAGTGCCTATAGATATAACTTAACTAGGCAATAAGGGGGGTGGTGCTCTTTATGCCTTATTGCCTTATTGCAGCTAGTCATGTGGTTGAGGCTTTTCCGTGTAACTGACTGGTAAATGTCTGAAACTGCTAGGCTCCAAGTCGGCAGTTTCCAGGCTGGGTTGTCATATCCGTTGCGTTCGAAGTATTCGTGCCGTCTCTGCCACGGGAGAAGCCGAATCACCATGCGGTTTGCTCACAGCCCGGCAAGTCGCCGCAGCCCAGTGTCGATCATCATGGTTACCATGCACCCACGTGTGATTTAGCGTCAATGTCTAGGTTGACATGACAGTCCGGTGGAGTGCGTTAATGTGCGACAGTATGCGTTCGCTCAGGGGCCATGTTCTGTCCAGGTTTCTACAGCCAACACCAACACCACCACCTCGACACTGTCTTGGACTCTTGGCCCCGGCCGGCGGGCCGTCTTACTTGGAGATTTGTGGAGAGGGAGTCCAGCTGATGCTGTGCAGGTGCCGTTCAACTGCCCCGGCCACCCTCCCAAGTCAAGGAGATGAGGAACGGATTGAAACATGACCAACGCTGCAAGCAACGCCAGCGTGTGCCTGAGTGGGCAAACTCAACAGGAGCGGACGAGGGCCTTCGTTTAGAAACACGACAACGGTGGACCTCCGGAGGCGTGCCTGGGATCCTCCTGGGCGCTGACCAGATTGCCGCATTGGATGCCTTGTTCCACGACGACGCGTGGGAGCAACGTGGCTTCCGATTCCCACCCCCGTAGAAACGCTAGGCTACGACATATCGCCATGCATGGTGTTAATGTTTAAATCCGCTCGGTAGTAGGTACTGGACTCCCTGACAAATATCCCCATGTGGCCGAGGCTCTTGGTATCTATTTCTGGTGACCAGGGGCGGCAGGCAATCTGTGTTGCTCCATGGCCTGTTTCATGGTTTCTCGTCCTGGGGTCTCGACGTCTCTGGGCCTTGTTTCTTGCTCCTCTGTACGGACATCCTATTGTGCCTTGCTGCAAAACGATGCGGCCTCTTGTCCAACACTTCCTCCCGGCTAGAACAGTCCATCGTTGATTTGCAGCCTCGAGATTCGGCCTTGTCCCCAAGGTTTGAGTCGGATAAGTTCACTCTACTGACTAGGCATGCGTTCACTCGTCATCGCCGCCAGCCCATTCCACATAGAGGTCGGAATTCTCGCATCGAAGCTCAAAGTCCCTTCCTCTCTGGCCAGCCGATTCTTCATCATTAATTCAACCGCTCCCTCCTCGTGCTTGTTCAGCTTGGCCTTGGCCACAATCGTGGTCTAATTCGTTGCATCCTCGCAATCGAGCCAGACCAAAGTCAATCAGGAACACCCTGTAACAACCGCTGCCGTCACGCCGGATAAAAAAAAATTGTCAGGTCGAACATCTCGGTCAAGGATGCCACGGTTGCCGACCACCTGGACGACACCGATGGCTTAATTGACAATATCTTGCCACTCAGGTTTGGGTGCGCGATGTTGAAACCTTGAATATAGAGAAACCGTCCATGTACTGAAGCAGGATTCCCCTGACGTTGAGCGGTTGTGCGGCATCATCGAGGTGGCCAATTCTGGTCTCTGAGAGCGAGAGGGCTAAATGGACGCGTGCCAAAAGACGAGGCACTCGTTTTTCCTGCATGTCACATGGGGCATCGGACACGGCAGTCTCGGCGTTGGAGAGATTCTGAACTTTCATCAGTCAGGAATGTGTCCATTTGCCCGTCGTCCGGAGTCTGCCAGGTGACTTCCTCAAAATCAAGGAGAGCGTGAAGCTTGCGAAGGAATCAACGCGCTGCGCCTGTTTGGACGGCCTTGCATAATCCCTTTCTGAATCTCTCGTCCACGGGTCGACTCCATGATCACGTCGAAATTGCACCGAGATGCACCTGTCGTAAAGCTTCACAGACTCGCGTTACCCATAGCAATCTTCGCCCACAAGATCCATGATCATGCAACAAGGAAGCGTGCGTGGTGTCCGAAGCTGCCTAATCCGTGCCCGGACAGTCGAGACTGAGCCTGTCTGGCCGTACTCGGGAATAACGCTCGAGTCTGAAACCTGGCTAGCGTGCGTGACAATCAGCCAAAGAAGAGCACGAAGCCATCTCTATCGGCAGAATAAAGCAGGGAGAGTAATGAGTCCGAGAGATCAAAGTACGTGGTGCAATTGCGGTTGACAGGATGGCAGGATGCTGGCGCAGCTGATTATTTATTAGTCAGCATTCACTGGCGAAAGTCACCTGACCTACTTTCGAAGTCCTATATGCACCTCATGATGAGTTTTTCGTCCTATTGCCACTTTTTTTAAGCTCCCTGCGATAAATAGCTTGCCTAAATTTTAGGTGGCCGTGATTTATGGCCCATTTTGGTTGATCCTGGAGCGCCAGATCTTGGGCTAGGCTTAAAAAGTCGGTCTGAATGGCCAATTTCCCCTGGGTGGCAAGACCTTCAACCTGTCAACCGTACCTTGTTTGGCATGAATGCGAGTGATTGCAGTTTGCCTCTTGGTACCTATAGTTGGAAATTGCAGCCGTTAATGGCAACTTGCCCCAGTTTCAAGCACCTACCATGTGCGTCGACGGCACAAGACGAGGACGTCAACGGTGGTTTGCCAACAGTGAACACGCCGTTGGCGCCATTGTGGGAGAACAAGCACACAAGCACACAATGTATGATTCACCATTCACCCCAGGCAAAGCAACTTTTTGCCAAGCTACGTGTGTGTCAATGTCGGTTAAGCCCCTGCCCCTGCCGAGCAGACCCGTCGCCCTTCGGAACGGAGCCGGCGGTCGGTACTAGCGTGGCGAGATTGCAACACGGGACGAGGACCAGGCGTCATAGCAAACGGCGAGAACAATGACAGGGCTACCGTAAAATGCCCATGCTTTCTTGTTTTTCTCTGCCAGTGCGGGCGCCAGACTTTCTCCCGTGGCCGGCCTTTGTGCTCTCCTCTTCCAACCCCCGATCCACCATCTTGACTTGATGGCGTCTGCATCGCAGCCATCTTCCTCTGTTGCCACGTTGTAGGCGCCAGACGCTACATGAAAAGACGCCAGAACAGGGCCCCAGGTTATCGATTTGAGCCGTTACCTTGACCATGTTAGCCGATGGTGCAGCAGCCGTCCCCGACCAGTCCGAGGACATGCCCCGGACATCCGCACCAGAGAGGACATCTGAGAAACAACAAAGCCAAGATGAAGACCCTGCGCCTGATGCTCATGCTCATGCTCATGCTTGTCCTGCAACTGCCTCTCCCCCTGATACCTCGGCGCCGCCCAATGGCGGCTGTTGGGCGTGGATACAAGTCGCTGCGGCGTTCAGCATCTTCTTCAACACCTGGGGCGTCCTCAACACGTTTGGCATCTTCCAGACATACTACGAGGGAGGCGCCCTGTTCCGCGAGTCGTCGTCCAACATTTCGTGGATCGGCTCGATCCAAGCGTACTGCGTCCTGGTCGTGGGTCTCGTCTCGGGTCCAATCTACGACAGGGGCCACCTTCGCCTGCTGGTGCTCACGGGCTCGTCCTTGCTCGTCCTCGGATTCATGATGCTCAGCATATGCCGGACCTTCTGGCAGGCCCTGCTCGCCCAGGGCTTCTGCATCGGCATCGGCGCCGGCTGCCTCTTCGTGCCGTCGCTGGCGCTCCTGCCGACATACTTCGGCACGAGGATCGGCCTGGCCGTGGGCATCGCCGCCTCCGGGTCCTCTCTGGGCGGCGTCGTCTATCCCATCATCTTCTACAAGCTGATTGGCGCAGTCGGCTTCGGCTGGACCGTGAGAGCGATCGGCTTCATCGCGCTCGCGACGCTCGCGGTTCCGCTGTGCTTCGCCAGGATGCGGGTGAAGCCATCCCGGGCCAGGGCCGTGCTGGACTGGTCGGCCTTGACGGACTGGCCCTACGTCTTCTTTGTCGTGAGCACCTTGATCGGGTTCGTGGGCCTCTACGTCGTCTTGTTCTACATTTCGTACTTTGGTGCCGCCACGGGCATCGCCTCGTCGGAAATGTCCTTTTACCTGGTGCCCATCCTCAACGCCGCGTCCATGTTTGGCCGGACGCTGCCCAACGCCGTGTCGGACAAGATAGGCCCGTTTAATTGTGAGTCGAGTTGGCGCCTTCGCCTTGCCGCCTCCGCAGAGACCCCGGCGCGCTGACCAGCTCCCCAAGTGTTTGGCCCGGCCGCCGTCGTCTGTGCCGTCCTGACCTTTTGCCTCGTCGCGGTCGAGAGCCTCGGCGGCGTCGTTGCCATCGCCGCCCTCTACGGCTTCTTCTCGGGCGTCTTTATAGCCATACCGGGGGTTTGCTTTGTGAGACTGACGCGCGATAAGAGCAAGCTCGGCACCCGTATCGGCATGGGATTCGCCGCGTTTGGCTTTGGCGTGCTCGCCGGCGGCCCCGGGGGCGGCCACGTCCTCGGGACGAATCGCGCGCATCTTGACTGGGACTCGGTATGGGTGTACGGGGGCTGTACGATGATGTGCTCTAGTGTCTTGCTCACTGCTCTCCGATTCTGGCTGTCAAAGGGGAGGCTTGTCTTGAAAATATAAACGTCTGGGAAGCGTCACTTTCCCACATCCCACCCACCGTAGCCGAGGAGCACGATCGAACGTTGCTGACGCCTACAAACTTGGTCATGCCCGTTGCGCAGCCAGCAAAGAGATTTGCGGCTGTGCCGGGGCCCGCCTGCGGCCTACATTCCAACAAACCTCCGGCTCTTCCGCAGCCTCTCCATCGTCTGATAAAAAGGGCTTCGGGGGAACCTGGCAACAGGGCTTTGGGCACATCCAACACATCTCTCAATGAGCTTGTGCGCTGGCCGGGACCCTCGTTGCCGCACCTAAGAAGAAACAGTAATAAAAAATCATCCAGAACCATCCCTAGCCATGACGTTCGGGTGGGCGAAATGGCTCGAGGGCGGCCACGTTCTTGTCCTCGCGTCAGATTTAGAATTGAACCCGCCCCAGAGCTACCTGTTAGTCCAGGACTTTCTGATCATTCTGTGTGCCCTCCTCTACTGCTTCGCTATGTATTCTACACCCTGCGCATAAAACGCGACCGGTTCCTCGCCGGACCCGTCGACCTGCTGTAGGTGCACTCGCGGCATCCCGGCATCCATGACACCAACACCAGACCTGCTGACCCGAAGACGGCGTCAGGTTCGGCAACCTCGCCTACGAGCTGTACTATCCATTTGTCATGGCCCGTAGCAAGCTCGAGCTGGCAGGATGTCTCGTCTGGCTCGTCCTGGACCTGAGGTTCGTCTATACCGCAATCAGATATACGTGTCCGCGCGGGAGGCGCCGCGCCGTGGCCCTGCGCTGTGCGCTCTCCACGGCCGTCCTCACTGCCTTGTACCGCGGCCCGGGTCGGCTTTTCCCAGACGACGGCGAGCAAGTCACGGCCTACTAGACAGGCTGGCTGCTGGAGCTGGGAATCGGATGGTGCCAGGTGCTGTATCTGTGGAGGCACGCGCGCACAAAGGGCCAGTAACCTGGAAATATGGTGAGTCGCAAGACTGTGCCGCCGCAGTGACAGGCCCCGGAGCGCTGACGGTGCGACGCAGGGTCGTGAGGTTCTGCGGCGTGCTCTGTGCCATGGCCGTCTTCCTTTGGCGCCATGTCAACGTCCCGCAGAACTGGGCCTATGTGGTGTCGTGGCCGAGCATCCTCTTGCTGGTGTTGAACGTCATTCCGGAGCTTATATATCCCTTTTTATATCGCAGGGTGGAGCGGAAGACGGCGGCTGCAGCGGTGCCCAAAGACAAGACCTACTAGCACGCAGCCCGTGTAAGCAGCCCCGGGGTTTGACGTTGCTGATGATGGAGCGGTGAGGTCCGAAAGCAACTTGTCCTACTTCACGGAACGAGTGCTGGCAAGACTTGTAGAGAGCAGCATATCGGAGCCATGTAATGAGCCAGGGGAAACAAGGCTTGCCAAGTGTTAGACCACGACACGAGGGCAGTGTTGTTTGCGCCCGAGAGGAAGACGACTCGGCTGTCCTATTTGCGCGCTTAGCTTGCTCACAACATGGCTTTCTCGCAGGTCTATGCAGAGCATGGAGAGTAGAAGAGCTAGACCGTGGCACTTGCTCATTTTTTGGCCAAAGCGACTGCTGCATCGTTTCATGCAGGTGACATCTGGTCAACCGAGCTTTTCGTCATGAACGGCGAATAGCCGTACAGCCACGAATTCAAGGCCTTGGGATGACATGCCCCTTCTGCTGCCCAAGGCATCATGACTCTGTCTTGTCAGGGTTAGATGGGCATGACTCAGGGGCCAAGCACGCGACAAAACTGCGAAATATTTTGAATTTCCAATTTGTCTTCTTACCTCATGGCACTGCGTCTGCCTAGGAGAATTTTCCCAAGCCGTTCTAGTGTCTCTCGTACGTCGTGGGATCCCGTCACGATGCTAGACGCGACCCGTAGGTCAGGAAATGGTTTTTCATGCAGGGACGAGGGGGACATGACTACATGTATATTCCAACAGCCCAAAGGCTTGTCAGCACATTAGCAAGGAGGAACGATGTCACCGCTATACAAGCTGAACACCCTTTGTACGGCGGCAATATTAACGACATTTTTGTCCGCGGGGGCTCCGCGGCTGTCGAACATGTAGTCGTCTTGGTAGAGTCCTCTTCCCTCGGATGCTCAGGCTCATAGATACATTGGCCTGGATGGTGACATGCCGTCACATGACGGGACTGGTTTTCCTCCACGCAACGCCATACTTGGAGTCTCGGCATCCGACGTACAAAATGTGTGAGCCCGCGGGAGTTGGGCAAAGGCGCTTAGCCACTTGCGCCCGCAATGGCGTCCAGCCTCGTCGAGCTGGCTCAATGTTTGAAGCCATCTACTGAAAACAGTGGCGCCGGTCGGCAGCATGAAGCGGACCGCTGGGCGCACCAACTATCCGCTCGTCCAGCCCTACGCTGCCGCCATTGACTGCCAGGAGCCACGGCGCATCGGGCTGCCCTTCGGTGCCAAGACTCGGCATCTCGAGGCTTCTTTGTGCGTGTTTGCCAAAGCCGGTGGCTGGCCTGCTCGAACAGTGACGGCGGCCGGGCTGCCTCGCGCTGAGAAGTGAGGGCCGCATGTATAAAAAACGTGCCATCACTCGGACACTCTGGCTCAGCAAAAGGTGCCATACACACTTGGCACAGTCGAGTCGCTTGGCACGCCGTCCCTACCAGACTCGGTCGATACACGCTCAGGATGTACGCTCGACACATGGTCGGACTTGGCTCCGTGCTCGTCGCGGCCGCGGCCGTGATCCGGGTCGACGTCGGCAGCAACGGTGCCTTCACGTTCACCCCCGACACCATCAAGGCGAATGTTGGGGACACGCTCGATTTCCACTTTCACCCGCTCAACCACAGCGTCGTCATGGGCGACTTTGGCAACCCGTGTGCGCCTGCCAAGACGGGAGGCTTCTTCTCGGGGTTTCTGCCCGTCTCCTCCGGCCAGGCTGTGAGTACCAAGTCGTCTGCGCTCTGCGCGTGCGCGAACTCGCCATCGATGGGCCGGGACTGACTGCGGACAGACGCACTCTTTCCAAGTAAAGGTCAACTCGACGGACCCCGTCTTCTTTTACTGTGCGCAAACCATTCTCGAGCATTGCAGGAATGGCATGGCGGGAGTCGTCAACCCGTCGTCATCCCAGACGCTCGGCGCCTACAAGAACGCAGCCAAGTCTGTGGGCACGGCAAGCCATCCTGCAAGTGTGTTTGGCGGTACGTTGGTTTCAACGCCTGGGCCGACGTCTGCTTCGGCTAGTCCCAGCCCGGCAAGCACCGGGGGCGGCGCCTATGCAGGAGATGCCGCTCCGGCCGCGTCCGGTGCGGTTGCTGCTTTGGCCTTGGCCGTGGCCGCTTTTCTTGTTTGAAATGGCACCGGGGTCGTGATTGTAGTGCCTGGTCATGTCTTGTCGCGCAATTTCGAGCATCGTGGGCACGCCGCGCTGTTGGGTGGTCCTTGTTGGAGTAGCAACTCGTTCATTACGCGAATAAGAGGTTACAAGGCAGTTTGCAGATAAATTTACATGTCTAGTCGCCGCTATTATATAAGTCACCACAGAACCATGCTTGTATAGTTATTAAAGCAGCAGCAGCACGCCTGGCCAGCAATTGCTGACGACGGCCGCGTGGTCAAATTGATCCTCGTCTCATGGGCAGTCCTCCAAGATGAGTCCGGCTGCTCTCTGCGCGACCCCGTACAAGATTGACATGATGTGTGCGGTGCTCTGGATCGGGAGGACACCGGCGTCAACTACCCGGAGGTTCCTGGTCCCGTACACCCTACAAGCTTGTTAGCCACGTCGCTCACTTATGTCGGTCGAGGTGGGTGTACCGTAGCCGTGAGTCTACCACCCCCCCGAGGTGCCTCGGCATCATCGCTGTTGTCCCAACCCAGTGGGAGGCCCCTCCGCCCGTCCTCTTCAACCATTCGAGATAGTCCGTGTCCGTGCCGTTGGGACCAATCTTGGGGTTATAGTAGGCGTCCTCAACGTATCCCTGGAATGGTTTAGTGGTCCAGACTGCCCGTGACATCCGTGCCACCGCAACCGCGACTTGCTGGTCAAACTGGTCTGCGAGGAAACGCGGCACAATGACGGGAAATTCGAATGGACTTGCAGACTTGACGTGCACATGGCCTCTCGACAGGGGCAATGAAGGCCAGGAGATGGCACTAAAGACGGTTGGATAGGTCTCGGCCACGATCTCGGCAACCGGTTCTAGGGATGCTTAGTACACATGCTGGTCTGAATAGAAAAAAAAAGAAGACACTTGCGTCCTGATTCGACCATCAACTGTATGGTGGCATTGAGAATTCCCTCAGCGCCTGCAGTGTTGACTGCCGCGCCGGCGTTGACAAGGGCCTCGGCTCGAGACGCGAGGCTTGCCGATGATGTCAAGGATTCCGCGACAGAAGAAGCACCTAACGGTGATCAGTGCAGGGCGCCAAATATCGAAAACAAAGGCCGACTCACTGGTAGCCCATATCTCGTTGATGTTGACCAAAGATATCTCCGGACCGAATACACTGGGGCCACCTACAAGGGAAGTGTCGTTGTGAAGCTTCTTTGGCATGAGAGCACGCGTTTCTACTCCAGGTTTGTCCTAGGCACCGTGTTAACCGCCAACTCTTGCTTTCCCCCCCCTTCTTCTCATCACTCGCCACTGCCACTTACATTCAGGTTCGCACCAACGCCGGGGAGGTCGACCAGCTGTTCAATTTTGGCAGCTGCCAGGATTCTCGAATCACCCAGCCCAGAGCGCTCCAAGATGGGTGGCGTAGCCAATGTTCCGGCAGCGAGGATGACGGATCGCCTCGCCTTGACGGCGTAGACTGGTCCTTGATTCTTGGTCAAGGTGCTTACAAAAACAACTCCAGTTGCCTTGAGGTCCTCGTCAAAGGTCACTTTGGCGACGGTGTGGTTCGCAAGTACCGTGAGGGCGCTCCGTTGCTCACCCGGCGCCCAGAGAAGGGCGTCTGCAGCCGAAGACCGCACGTGTTTGCCTGTCGCTGGATCATACCACATAGTCCAGGAAGTGGATGCCGAGACAACCGAAGTGCGATTCGAGAGGTCATTTCCGACCTGGAGGCCTGAGAACACGAGCGGCAGGCTGTCTTTATAAAGCTGCACAGCCTTTGGGATACGCATGGGCGTCTAGATAATTGTAAGTCGACCCAAACATCCACGTTGCCCACGGCAGCCTCACAGGAAAAGAGGTGTTGACTTGTCCGTCGTGACCGTGCACGTCTGGGTCAAGGCCAGCACCTTGGGCGATCTGGGCTTTTGTTGGAGGCATGTTGCGTTCTATTGCCGCCATGTGCTTTGAAGCCAGGACTTGGTTACCGAATCACGTCTCAGAAACTACGACGACGCTTACCGGCTCAAGACTTTCCCAATTCCAACCCGGGTTACCCAGCGCTTCCAGTTGATCGACTTCAGCTTTGGTTGGTCTGATCCACACCATTCCGTTGACTGCGTCCAGTTAGATGACCACCGTCTCGGTAGTTTGGCTAGACCTACTGGATGTTGATCCGCCAATACACGCCCCAGCGTCAATCGTAGAGTCGAGTTTGTTGCCGGCATCGTCATGTCTGGGATAGGCCCAATTGCAGAACACAGGCGGGTATGGCCGATCTTGCGCAGAAAACACTGCTGGATTCCATGAGCCATCTGGGCCAGCTTCAATCACAAGCACGGAATGACCTTGACGGCTGAGCTATAGCATCGTTGTCACGAATCAGGCAACCTCAGCTGGGTTACGTCCGGCACGGGAAGCAACGTACCTTGTTCGCCACCGTCAGTCCGGAGAGGCCGGCGCCGGCAATCACAAAGTCAAACGTCTTGTCGGAAGCCAGGGCAGCATCGTCCGTCACGATGGTCGCCCCTACAGCAGAGGCCAACGCTCCCACGCAAACAACCAGCCACCGCATGGTTGCTAAATATTCCGTAGAGTGGACGGCTCCTCAGCTTTGACTGGGCAGAAGGGTGGCAAACTTCAAGTATTGCCTGGAGTGTGCGAAGGCGCTGCTTTTTGACCTGCTGCAGAGCAGCCCGTTATGTGTTCTTAAATTTTATGACATCACATATGGACTGATTACTGGCACACCTGGAGTGAAGGGGTGCAACTGCGACAAGGGTTGTCGTAACAGGGCTTGGAGCAATAAACTCTATTCAACAACGGTGCTCCGTAACCTCCCTCGGTATCACTCGTTATTGGTGCCCCGCAGGACCGTCTTGCCCAAAATCGTCTATTTATGCGTCTCATAATATAGCCAGGCCCCTGCAACCTCGATTTGTTGGGAACAATGTGCGGCATAGTTCCATTTCATAGCCAAAGGGCATCCACAAATAGTCGAGCTGCCGCGCGGGACAATTATAAGTACTCCAGTTAGCATGAGGGCTTCGAATACGTGTATGCGGTGAGAACTGTGAAGCCACAGAGTAGCGTTGGGGTTAGGGTTCTCCTTTGACACCACAGCAGAGCCAGGTCTTGGCAGACAACGACTCGATACCTCTTTAAATCTCGATAGATGCCATCTCTAGATGGTCGTGGTCTCGTGTTAAATGAGATTAATGGAGAAGTGGAGCGTAATATATCCTCCCCCTAAATTGTCTAAGGGAATTGCTACACGGGCATGACACTTTGGCTACACGGGCATGACTCTTACACGGGCATGACTTTTACCACTTCTGATTGGTCGCATTGTCTCTGTTAACGACGCTGGATTCTGCCACCTCAGCCGCAAGTACCTGGGCCATTTTAACCTTGCTTCTGTGTAAATTACTTCATTTCGGCTAAGCTACTACGCAGCAACCCAGTGGTCGCGCAGTCGGGGCGACCCCCTCGAGCTTGCTTTCTTCATTTTCGTAGCTTTTAATAAACCATAATACGGCACCCTATGCTGTAGAGATAGCGACCAATTCTTTCACTACAATCTTGTTCTCTTCTCAAGACGTCAATGTCTTTGCCTCGCACACCTCCTCGCAGGTCGCGGAGCCCTAGTCCCAGTGATCAATCACAAAGAGGAAAGCGACACAAATCCAGTCGGCGACGCAGATCTAGTCCTTCCACAGTTGAAGACCGACCACAATCCGCGAGTAGCTCTGCTACGAGTATCGGTCAGTTCTACGGCCTCGGGGACGAAAATGCACTCGATAACCTGTTCGCCTCTTTCCCGCAAACACTTTCAAGTCTCCCACACCCCCATGGTTCACAGGGCCGCCATGAGCCTGCATGGGGCCTTCGATCTGACTATGAGATATATCTTCAAAATGACTTCTTCCGTGGAAAAAGATGGAGCCAGCGAGTCAGAGCGCTTATACCAGGCCCAGAATTTGATCCATTCGCCTCTGAACCTCCCGAATCACCCCCATCCGCCCAGCATCTCCCAACAAGGACAAGAGCCGAGTTCGAGTCCGCAATGCGCATAGTACGAGAGGTTACCGGCGAAGGTCGAAGGCTAACTGTAGACCTTGCTCGATCATACGAACGTGTACAAGCTTGGCGAGAGAGATGGGGATGGTCACCATTAAGTTTCGAAGCATATGACTCTCCTCCACCGTACTCTCCACCTCGTAGGTCACCCACACAACCTCCTCGAATATCACCGACGCCCGAAAATATTAGTTCCTCGCCTATGCGACAGTCTCTATCTCCCGCCCCGGAGCCAATTCCGAACCCAATAATCCCTGGCGACCCAGCGCCCTCGGCCGAAGTTCTTTTTAAAACAACCAACGCATTTGCAAAGGAGAACGGATTTGGTATTATTCGGCGGAATAAATATTCCTATAAGGGACGGTTGATTAGGTACTCCATTCAATGCGACCGGTTTGGACAATCTCGGGCCTCGGGGGGTTCTGGTCTTCGAACCCGAAGGTCTCGGAAGTGTGATTGCAAATGGATGATAATTGCTGAAGCCCTAGAGGAAGGCAAGTGGCTTCTTCGACAACATAGAGACCCGAAACATCACCAGCATAACCATGAACGGAGTATTACGCCATCTGCGCATGTTTCCCACCGCCGCCTTACTACACCAGTTAAAGCAACCATCGAGTCAGCAAGCCGTCGCGCGGGTATTCGAGCCAGTGATGTAGCTGCTATGGTTGAGGAGCAATTCCCCGATACAACACTCCTGCGGAAGGATATCTATAATGCCCGTTCGTTCATTAACCGAGAGAAGCTAAATGGCTATACACCTACTGCGGCATTGATCAAACTCTTTGATGAGAAGAAGATCCCATACATCGCGAAATGGGCCGATGATGATCCAGATAGACTGCTTGGTCTTGTCTGGACCTTTCCGTACTGTCTACAGATGTGGAAGCGCTTCCCCGAGGTTATTAGCTTTGATAACACATATAACACTAATCGCTTCAAGCTTCCTTTATTCCAGGCTACTGGCCAAACCTGTCTTGGAACTGTGTTCAATGCTGCATTTGGCTTAATAGATAACGAGAGGAGGGAGGGGTTCCAATTCCTTGCAGAGAGTGTTCGCAAGCTCATTACAAAACACTCACTCAGGGAACCAGATGTCATCATCACAGACTTCGACAAGGCTATGAAAGCTGCCGTTAATGATCAGTTTCCAAATGCACAGCAACAGCTTTGTATTCATCATATCCTTTCAAACGTTTTGCTTAAATCGAAGACTAGGTGGACGGGCCAACGTGAGGACAGTACTACTAGCCCTAGCGCTAGTGACAGTGAAGACATTCCCTCACAGGCGGATGGCGGGTTGAGCACTACAGATAAGCATCTGATCGAAGATCGGTCGAGTAGTGATAAGATTCCTCATACTTACCAAGGCGTTGTTTTAATGTGGAAAAAGGTTCTCTATGCCGAGACTGAGGAAGCGTTTGAGCAGGCATGGAGAGATCTTTGTAAAGAGTTCGACGACCAACGAGCGATCTTACAATACCTCTACTCGACTTATATGCCTGTTAGTGCTCAATGGGCACGTTGCTTTATCCGTCGTTATCGTAACTTCGGAATCCGAGTTACGTCCGGCACAGAAGCAAGCAACAATAATATCAAAAGCTATCTATTAAATGGCATGAGCCACCTCTACCGACTCGTCGAGGCAATGCAGGATATGATACATGACCAAGAACGTGCCTTTAAGGATGCCTGTGGACAGGATGATGTCCTGACTGCTCCACAATACCTAGGTTCGATGGGAAACTATCTTGGTGAACTACGAACAACCATGTCATCGAAAGGACTTGGGTTAATCAACAAGCAATACTGTATTGCTCGCAAATTTCTGCCGACGGGGAAGAATCCCTTCCCCGACTCTATTGGACTTTGCGACGACGACTGTACGGTCTCTATTGAGCTGGGAATCCCATGCTATCATAAAGTCTACGCAAAGCTAGATTCTGACACACGTTTCACTAAATGGGAGGTCCACCCACGCTGGCGACTACGGGAATCGGCATCTCAAGATCCATACCGACGAATTCTTGACCCGAAAGTTGCCACTGCACTACGTGGAAGGCCAAAGAATACAGCGCAGGTTATCCCAGAAAGCCTAGCTATTACATCAAGTAGCCGATCTGATAATCAACCAAGTGGGCGACGAGGTCGACCGCCAGGAAGTCTCAATAAGCCAACTCTTGCTAGGAGAGTGCATAAAGCTACTCGAGAAACCATCACACAAACTGGTGGCCAAATTGGCATCTCAGCCCAGCAAGGGCCAGGTAGACCTTCTAAAGTCCTAAATGCTGGGAATACGACAGGCGTGCGGTACAGTGGACGGAGGACGCAACGAAACATTCGCAGGACAAGGAGTCAATGGGAACTGGCTAAGAGTGATGACGAAGATCCAGATTGTATCGTTGTGAGGCAATAAATTAAGTAGACCACATCACGTCTTTTGCCAGTATTTGACAGTTACTGGCTAACAGTACAAGGACGGTAGTTTAATCCGAAATGCAGGCTTGCAAGATAGCAGAAGACCAATCGCGCCCACAACGATAAGTGACTGCAATTCATGGTGATGTAGGAGCTTGTTAGTGAAGTTGGCTACACCGCCTTTCCGAGGAAGTATCTGTGGGGCCAAGAAAGTATGCGACCAATCAGAAGTGGTAAAAGTCATGCCCGTGTAAGAGTCATGCCCGTGTAGCCAAAGTGTCATGCCCGTGTAGCAATTCCCTTGTCTAAACTTCGTCCGCAAAAGACTCATGTCAACTAAGCTTCTTTATAAAATTATTATTTATGTCCTTAGAACAGAGTCTGCAGCTCTCTTCTCAATATCAAAGAACTTCCTTTCATTTAAATTTAGCTTCTAGCTATATTTAGTTATAACAACCAACGTTCTCACAGGCAGCAATTACCCCCAGCTGTGCGACTTCAGTCTACAGAGGCGTTATCCGACATCCATGTGGGCATAAAGCAATATATTTGCCTTGGCATTCCGCCTCTCCCCCAACCACAGTATCGTCGCAAATTACAATCAGGGCTCGAGAAGTTCAACCAGACAACGTACAATACTGCTCGTCGGTGTTCAGACGAATACAGGATATTCATGAAATCAAGGTGCGCCGGGTCCATTTGGCGTCATATGGCCTAGATACGCGCCGCACGACCCCAGCCCTCACTTCGCCGAGTCCATAGCCCCTATTCAGCTCCTCTGCAGAAACAGTCTCCCGCCCACCTCCAGTGAAGTAGATCGAGAGGCTCCGGCATACGCGTGGCCCTAGGCCGCAGTGAGGACAGTTCCATCCCAACCATCCCGTTCCAAGACGGCTGTTGGCGCTGAGCGCGTACCTTGGAGCACAGAGGTTCATGAAAAGCCTGGTTCCGTCCACCAGTCGAAGCATCGCAAACAAGGCTCATTCCAGTTGCGCCCAGCGCAACAGAGCGCACCACACATCTCCTCGACCACTTGGACGCCGTCTAGATGTGATTGTACACACATCCAATAGTTTTATTTCCCGGTCGTGTAGTCATGGCGGTATGATGCAGCGTCATTCAACACAATCTGAAGGCTGAGGTAAGGCAACGCATCCTCGCGGGGGAATAACTCGTCCTTGATCCTTCCGCCATGACAAGCTGTATGCTATGTCCCGGCGAGTAACTGTTCATTTGACCATTGGTATTTACTGAGATTTTTGGCGTGTGAAGGGATAGTTGAAAACTGAAGGCGGATAAAGCCGGCACCTGCGCATATATAACTATATACATATCTATATATTCTCGTGGGGAGCCAAGGGATGGGCGACTAATAGGGGCCGCAATGTAATAAACCACCGTGTCTTGCAGGGGAAGTCAGTGCTAAGATTCCGGGTGGCTTCTCATCTCATAAAGCAGTCCAATGCTTTCAGGCCAGTGGTTGGGTGTGTCCGTAGCGATACCAGTTGTTAATGTAACGGTTCAAGCTGAGTGTATCGACAACTGGCTAGACGATTACTACGAGTATACAGGCCGCGAAGGCGGCCTCAGCCCGTCACAGTTGAAAGCCGATGAGTATTACGGCGTTTGCCCACTTTCCTTTTCTTGCAACTGCTCATTGAAACCTTGATGCTCACCATTCCCCGCTAATAAACGTCGCAGAGTCCATCATAGCGAAGCTATATCGACTCTCGTCTTGGAAAGTTGGAGAACTAAATTTCTCCTCAAGGTCCAAGTTGGCCGGATTCGTTTAAGGCCTATATCAGGGGGCCGCAAACCTATTGCAGAAAGACCGTGGAATCTGTGACGTACGCTCCTCATCTCGCACATCTGGGTAGTAATTCAGGATACGTGGTCTTCGATTGACAGTCAAGACAAATCACGATTCTGTTCAAGTTATATCACGACATACCCATTATGCATCACTTATCGAGCCAGATGGTGTTAGGTGGGGCTTGTCATACCTGTCAGAATTGGGTGGCGATGCCGTGAACGGGGTACTACAGCGATTGATACGGTCGTCGGATAGTGTTAAGCCCCCCATCGATTGTGCTTGGATCTTGTCGGCCATTAGGCGGTGCCTGAGTTGCACTTGCGGTACTGGCCACGTCGAGGTGGCACAGCAGGCCTTGAGAAATGTCTTTTGGAATCTGGCATTTCCAGGTTACATGGTGGCATCTACACATTGGAGATACGCAAGCACCAGATGGTGTGGACAAATGTCTACCGACAATATGTGGAATGCCCGTCCAGGCAGCAGCTCCTTGTTCGACGCGGGTGTGGAAGTGTGTAGATGTTGACGGCCTGGCACGTTGGACCGAGATTTCGGATTGAGGCGGACCGCGTCTCGGCCCTCAAGCGTGCTGGACGTGGGCAACTCGATAAGGCTTGCGTCTGAGCTGCGTCAGCGTGTGTTCCTTGAGGCAGCGGCGTACGAGGCCATTGGACACCGAGTTGACGGCTAGGATGGAGTACTTGGCCGTGTGTGCCTTTTGTATGTGGGAACATGGTCCATGCCGTACTCCCGAGAGCTCGTGCGATCAGTTTACGCTCAGGGTGACGGACAGATGCCGGGGGGCAAGGGTATAATATAGGTGTTGGCAAAGTGGGAAAGCAATAACTACCCGGTCAGTATTATGTTGTGGTCGTTCGCTAAGGCTCTAGACCACGACGCGAGTTGAGGCATTTACCCTACAACAAGATCGCCGTTCTGAGATGAATCTTGACTGGTTGACTGGAGCAATCGGGCGGAGATGTGGTCTGTCTGTCTGGAGTAGTTGTTCGTTTGCCTCACTCCGTTCGGTGTTTCCTCCTTTTTTGTTTTTTTCTGTTGACAGATAGGACGGCAGGACTCACAGTGCTTGACAAATTGCAATGAAGCAAGACATACAACTGCGTGAAAACATGCACGGCTCTGGGTTTCCTCTCACTTTCATGCCCCAGGAACCAAGTCCGCAGCCTCCTTTAGAACTGACTCCTCCGATCCGTGACAGCTTCACCAGAGATCCGCCTTCCACCGGAGACAGGATAGTGGTATGTCCTGCATACAAGGCAAAGTATCTAATATATTGAACAATATTTAGGCGCTGTAGAGAACTATGAAATAGATGCCGCGCTCAAAACCGAATAGGTGGCTACCTGTAAAGAGCCTGTTGTTGCTGTGTATTTTGTGCCTTGCGGAATCCCGTTCAGGCGAATAACGTGCTAAGCTAAGAATCGTTATCAAGTTGATCAATACCACACCTGGTACCCTAATTAAGACCTATCTGCCCCATGGAATCCCTGATCTCCCCAGATCCCGGGCCGTTTGAGTAGGGTTAAATGCTGCGCCGCCAAGATGTAGTGTCCCCGTAATAGCTCTCATCCAGCATTTCCAGCTTTTCTGGCGGCTAAACTCTCAGGGTCTGTCTTCACATGTCCTACGAAATTTTGAGCATTGAGTCGGTTGGCGAATCTCGAGAATCCTAAATTCCGCCTAAACATAACTACTAACTTGAGAAGGTCTTACTACATCTTTGCTGTCATTCTAATTAACCGTTATAAAGCCTTCATGATCGCCTGTAATTTTGTTGGTTTGCGCAAAAAAGTAGAGCATCCCTTCTGTTAGCTGCAAGAGCACCTATCTTCCCCGCGTTACTCCGTATAGTTAGTATGTTATCATTCCAGGGCTGTTGCCCTACCCCACCAACGACCCACCACCCTGGGCCTTTCAATTCTCCTGGTAATTTAAACTTCAAGGATTATCAACGATAGAATCTTATGCCTCCGGAACACGATTTTCCTTCTCTGAACAGTATGACAACACCTCACACGCCAACAATGCCTACAGTCATCCACCTCAGGGCTGAAACTAAGCCATTCGAGCGTCGTTCGCCGAGTACGTGGCCACCTCGCACTAGTTTTGACGTCCGTCGGATCATGTCTCTGACCAGTAGTGTAGTGTCGCCCGAAACAGCCAAGGCTCTCATTCAAGCCGGCTACCTCGTCCGTGTCGAACGATCTCGCGAACGCATATACAACGATGACGAGTTTGAAGCTGTTGGTGCAGAAATGGTGTCTGCCGGATCATGGCTGAATGCCCCACGCGAAGACATCATCCTAGGTCTCAAGGAGCTGCCCGAAGATGATATCCCTTTACCTCATACATATATCCATTTCCAGCATATTTTCAAGAAACAACATGGTTGGGCCCGTTCACTCTCTCGCTTTGCGCGAGGTGGTGGTACGCTGTATGATCTTGAGTTCCTGACCGATGAAGCTGGACGTCGTGTGGCTGCTTTTGGCTATTGGGCGGGATATGCTGGCGCTGCTCTGGCCCTGTTGTCCTGGGCCCATCAAGTCTTACACCCAGGCGTCACCCAAGGCCCGGTATCTCTTTTCGAAAGTGTCCCGGCCCTGGTTCAACATGTCAAATCTGCCATCGAACCCGCGATTCGTACCAACAGCGGTCAAACTCCCCGCTCTGTGGTTGTTGGTGCCCTTGGACGATGTGGCAAAGGGGCCGTGGACTTTTTCCTCGCGGCTGGATTTTCCCAAGACACAATCCTCCAGATGGACATGGCTGAGACTGCTCGTGGTGGCCCGTTTCCGGAGATCGCTGCCTCGGACATATTCATCAACTGTGTCTATCTCGGTCCTACTCCCACTCCTCCTTTCGTCACCTTGGAATCTCTTTCGGCACCAGAGAGGCGACTGCGAGTCATCTGCGACGTGAGCTGTGACCCCAACAGTGAAAACAATCCTGTCCCCGTGTATTCTGGCTGGAGCTCTTTCGACAAACCCACGATTCCCCCTTCTAAAGACCTGGATGGACCAGAACTCAGAGTCATTGCCATCGACCACCTCCCGACTCTGATACCCCGAGAGTCCAGCGATGAATACTCCTCTTTGCTGTTACCAAGTTTGCTGACCTTGGAACGCCGGGAAAACGAAGGCGTTTGGAAGAGGGCGGAGCAAACCTACAAAGACAGGGTGGCGGAGTTGCCACAGTCCGACCACGATAAGCCTTGAAGGTATCCATTTAGCTAGCAAACATGTCATTCTGGCAGTTGCTGGTGTCCTGCCTTTACGAATACGCCCTCGAGCCGGAAGTGCTCTCGTGCCCCCTGTGATGACCGTCAGCGATGATAATTCTAATATCGGCTCACGCCATGGATTCCCAGAGGCCACGGCCAGGGCCACCATTTGTCGGCGTTTTCCCCTCAGCCACGACTGCATCGGATAATTCGCTGCCACGAGATATAGGGGGTGTTGACACAACTAGAACGTGGTCCGTGGGCTACGCCTTTTTTAGTTTGACAACAACACGTGGCATGAAGTCCGAAGATACGGCATGCAGCCCCAGACAGCTAGCTTCCAGCGAGACAGGACGGGCAGGATCCGTTCCTTCAATCACAAGTTCAAAACTTCGCTTCCTAGGTTCGGCGGGTTTGCATAAGATGTTGCAAATCTATCGCACACAAGTGGGCACTTTCAACTAGATTGTATCGGGCTGGTCACAAGGATCGGGGCTGGGAGCACAAACTCGTATTTATATATAATATTCTATAGTCTCAAAGGTCCTTGGTTCTCCAATCTGACGGGCCCGACCAACGAGGGCTATATATAAGTCGGTGCCTATGTGTAACCCGACTAGCTGAGTGAGGCACCAGGGGTTCAAGACGCTTTGTGTATTTTTGGAACCTAATTCTGAGCTCAAAAGAGGGGATCGAGTGCGCCATAGTAAGACCTTGTACGTGTAGTCTACATTCTGGAACTTGGAATGTCACCAAAAATAAGGTGTGAACAAAAATAAGGTGAGAATTATGCTGTAAAAATTAGCTGATGCACGACTGTGAGTTGTTCTTAAATACTGCCTGGAATTATAAATTATTCTATAATTAGATTTACGACCCTAACGCCGCGTGAATTGCTTGGGGCGTAGGAATTTTTGCTTAGTGCGCAGAATTCCCTACTACGCTCTAGTTTTTATGCAGCAAGCTCTGCTGCTACACTCTATAGTATATTCTTAGTATAAATATATAGCAGTAAAATGCTCTTAATTAATTAAAAAGGTGCTTATATAATTTATATAAATTTCTTAATAGTATTATACTAGTAAGCTCTAAATTGCTTAAAAACGTAATTTCTAGTGTTTTTACTTAATATATTTACTATTAAGCTAGATTTACTAGTTATTCTAGCTACTTAATTACTTATTTAGTTATATTTATTAGCTATAATAGTAGTAATAGTATTATAGAAATAAATTCCTTAATTTATAGAGAGCTTTATCTTTTAATTAGTCTTCTTTCTATATTATTTATATTATAATTTAATTAATATAATAATAGCAGTAGCTGCTGCTAGTAGTATTAATTTCTTATAGTAGTTTTAATTTTAGCTTATATATACTCTCTTTAAATACTTAGTACTAAAGGCCTTTAAGCGCTTTATTAAGACATTTAACTTAGTTATTAGCTACTATTTTAGCTTATAAATTAGTATTAATTATTTTTTCTATTTATTATAGTTTTCTACTAGTAAGTTAAGATAGAGGCTAAATTATAAATATAAAGATATAAGTTATTAAAGCTTTAGATATTAAAGTTAGCTATAATTTCTATAATAATAAGCAGAAAACTTAAGTAAGTATTTACTAAGAGCTTTTATAGCTATTAGTAGTAATTAATTTTATTCTTTTATAGTAGCTTAATAATATTTTTCTTTAATAAAATATAATATATATAAAAGAGACTATATACTTAGTAAAATAATTTATATAATATTATAAGTTTTGCATTCTAGCTTTATAAGCTTAAATAAACTTATATTACTTAATTAAAAGGTTAATAGCTTAATAAAATATTTATATAGGCAGCTTACTAAGCTATTCTTTATAATTAATTAGATATTATTACTTAACTTTATTATCTACTATTATTATATAATAATTATAGCTTTAAGTCTTAAGTTTTTAATTAATTCTATTTATAAGCAATAGAAAGTTACTAGTCTTTATAAATAAGTATATTTTTAGAGCTCTATAAAAAACCTCTATAAAACTATTTGCTCTTTTGCTAAAATTTTAATATATCTTTATAAAATAATAAGCTTACTATTACTTAACTTTAAGATATATCTCTTTTATATAGTAGAGAATTATAAATTACTATAACTTATATATATTAATTATCTAGATCTAGATAAATTAAAAATTATTAATTATATTTAAGAAGAGTAGTATTTAAAATACTAAGAAAGCTTTTATTAAGTTATTATTAAAAGCTTTAGCTTTTAACTTATTATATTTATTATTAGTAGCTTTAATTTATTTCTTATAAAAGTTATTTTTAATATTTAATAAAATATACTAAATATAAATCTACTACTATATCTTAAGCTAAATAACTTTAAGAGTATTTTTTAGTGCTTTTTTAAAGTCTATTATAACAACTTTAGAAGTAGAGATTTAAAGCTTAATATAAATTTCTTTTAATATAGCTAGTATTTAGTAATAACTCTTTTCTCTTTTAGTTTCTATAAAGCTAAATATAATATTTATAATTAATTTTTAATTAGTAACTATAATAATATTTAATAAATAAAGACCTTAGTAGTTAGTTTTATATATATAGTTTATACTAATAAATTCTAAGAAAACCTTCTATTTTTTAATATAAAAAGAGTAAGTCTAAATAGCGCTTTTAATATATTATTTATTATTATAAATATACTTATAAAGTAGGCCTCTCTCTTAAAGTTTCTTAATAAACTACTAAGTAGATATATAGCTAGCTAATTTATCTTAATAAGCTCTTTAGTATTAATTATAAATATCTTTTAGTAAGAAGTAAAGCTTATCTTCTTCTTTATTATAAAGTATTATACTAATACCTTAAGGCTAAAGGCTTATATACTTTAAAAGGCTTAAAATTTACTACTTTTATTACTTTATAAATTTCTAATAAATTATATATCTAGAGAAATTACTTAATTTATTATAATTATAATAGCCTTACTTTTTATAATACTATACTTAATAACTAGAATTATTAGTAGATATTACTTTAAGCTAGTAACTATAGTTAGTTTTTTAAGTATATATTTATTAAATTCTAGCGTCTTTAGAAGCTCTTTAATAGCTACTATAATTACAATTAAGCTAGCTAAAGTAAGGCTATTAAATGCTATTAGTTAAAGTCTTTAAAGTAATAGTACTTTTAGTAAAAGCTATACTATTTTACTTGCTAAATACTTATATAGTATTATAGAGGTTATTAAAGCTGCTATAGCTTAGTAAGAGCGGCAAATTTAAGAGCAGATTTAAGAAGTTGTAAGAGCCTTCTTTAGGCATTATAATATTGTTGTTAAAGGAAAAAGCTGCTGCTTATTGAAAAATTTATAGCTGCAGCATTACAGTAAAGCAGGTTTATAACAATCCCTCCCTATAGCGATTCAGCACACACGCCTAGGCGTAAAGTACCTTTTCTATATATTATATATATAAAAGTAACTTCTAACTTATAGCGATTTTTCTTAAAAATATTACTTATTAATATATATAAGTTTATAATTACATACTACCTTACCCCCCCTAAAATCCCTTATTAAGCCTTATTAAGCCTTATTAGCCTTATCTTACTAACAAAAGTAGGGTTTTTCCTAAAAAAGTAGTCGCATCTTAACAATATAATCCCTGTAGTTGGGTTATAACGATGGAAATTTGCTCACGAAGGTTATCGTTATAGACCTAGTTTACTGTATTTAATAACGATTTTTAGAGTTAAGTAAAGCTGCTATACCTTTGTACTAAAAATATACTGTGGGGCGTGGCAGTAGAGCTTGCCGCATAAAAAGTGGGGCGCGGTGGGGCTCCTGCGCACCGAGCAGAAAATTTCTGCGCCCCGAGCAATTCACAACGCCGCAATCCGGCCTGAACAATAACCGATTACTATTTTAGGAAACTAGCTTCGGTTAGGTTTAGGGTGGGTTTAATCTCGCAAATCCAACATCCAAACAGCATACAATTTTCAAAATCCTTTTTGACTACTTAGATTAACGGAAGTGTATTATTATCTTTTTTGTAGGCCTACCATCCTGTGACAAAAAAAAAATAAAAAGCCTTAGTTCTTAGGGATACTCCCTACACGAGTTGGCGCCGCCATTCACTGCGTACGCCGAGCCTGTGACATAGCGGGAGCGGTCGCTCCCATGTTACGAAGAAATGCCAGGCGTTAGATGTCGAGTCGTCAGAATACGTGTGGCTGCAAGGCCTAAGGGACATCCCAGTGCAGCTGAATTGACGACAATAGGCTCGTTCATCTCTAAAGAATTTAGATTCTGTCAAAGACCTAACGCTCGTCTAAGCGTTGGCGTGGGCATAGTTACCTTTAATTTACCTCAATATAATAGTATAACAGCTACTAAATTGGCAGCAAACTAGCACTTAAGGAGCTTACACATATAAGGGGGAGAATTTGCTATTTAAGTAGAAGAGGTTTTAGAGATTAATATAGTTAATACTACTAACTTAACTAGCTATAAAGTTATTATAAGGCGCCTAGTGTGACCTACTTTTACTCTGCTTTAAACACCCCACTGACAGATTCTGACACGGACGACATTTCCCCCCAGTTGGCTGCGGTACGCATTAGTCCTGAATGCACATGAAAATGCTCAAACTGTATCAAAAGCTCAGCCTAGGCATTAACCAGCTTTACCAGCCTACAGAGTATTGAAGCAACACAAGTACAGTGAAAGTTTGCCAACGGCTTCGAAATCTCATGTTTCCAACCCCCTCCGCTCCATCAAGGAGATCCTGATGGAAAGGCTTTGTTGCCACAGTCCCGTCATTCTCGTGACGCATACAACTATAAGCATTTACTCCTGCACAAGGAAGCCTTCTCAGTGCCTCTGCGGTCGATCAGCCTGTCGACTTGAGATCGTCATGTCCCAATGAATTAGTCGATACATCTACTGCAGCTACGTCGTCCAATGCCCTCAATCAGATAGACGAGCTGTTTCCGCTGTCTCGTTTCCCCAAACGTCACGCTCACATCGGCCCATGTCAAAACTCTCTGCCGATGCAGATCACGCACACAATCCCTGAATGGCGTCAAGTTTAGATTCCTGCTGTCAGAGCCTCGTGTAACAAAAGTACTCACCCCGAATGCCTGAGTACCTCGTTAGCCTTTGAGCGACCCTGGTTCACAGCGGACAGACTTACTAGATATCGAACCTGTGGGACGCGAGGAACGTCAGCCACCGTCCAGAGCGGGCAACAGGTTTGTGTATACGGCCGCAGTGGGGGCAAAAACTCACGCAGACACAGCCTTCGCGACACTTTGCAATGTGATGCCTGTCAGCGTCTGCCACAAGGAAGGAGAAGGAGAACCTATAATCGAGCCCTGCGTACATCCATGCCTCTGTAACATTTTCTCTTACAGGTCTTTCCCTGGACAAATTCTGGCAGACGCGGGGGGATCGGAGGAATCGGAGGCTCGGGAGTATCGGGTTCATTTGCCAAAACAAGACTGCTGCATGCGAGCAGGGTGAGAACGCAGAGCACGTGCATCTTGGCCTGCCTGCCTGGCTGCATCACGAGGTGTCCAGCTTGGTGGAGTTGGACATTGAGTGGGCCAAGTCTCTGCGGAACTGAGGACGTCTTTTTATAATCCATTGACGGCTACGGCTGCCGTTCAGATGTTTTCATCAGTCGCTCGGGCTACGTCAGGATCGGATGTACGACGAGCCGAGTGACGGCCACGACGACAGTAGTCGGCCCAGCTAGCTACTGGTAGTCTACTGAGGCGGGAAAGATGTGAACTTGACGACATGACCGGTTTGGCTTCTCCCTGTTTGTGTTTAGGGGCTCATAATGCCACCTGGTCCCGTTTTGTGGCCTTTCCAAGAGCCAAGAGGGACTAGCTTCATCGAACTATGTTTTTGCCGCTGACCTGCTGGTGAGCCGCCGCCCCTCGAGGACCGATTACTAGTTTCTCACCATGGGGCTCTGACACACGTGGGCTAGCTACGGAGTACTAGCGTTTTGTATTACGCCAGAGCGACTAAGACCTTGATGTCTATGACAGCCTTTCGTCGTGCATGCAAACTAGGGCATCAGGATACTTGTTGTTTGATCTATGTCCAAGGGTCACGCGGATGTTGGTGACACAAGGGTTGTGGTCACAAGACAGACCTAGGGCAGAAGGCTGCTGCACAAATAGAAGCCTATAACAGCAAGGACCTTTTGGAATACCAGCGACCTTGAATACCAAGGTGTGCTTTATGCGAATTGAGCTGCGCTGACTCCAAACCCTCTTCTTGGATCAAGACAAGCCCTTGTCACAAAGGGACTCTATTGGTGTTGATTTTGGCTTGTTGCGACTACGACCAGCGTGACGTGTAGAATTGAATAAGACGGTCGTCCATGTTGTAGTGACGAAATGCACCATGTCGCACCCTGTCGTACTGGAAATATAATACATGCGGAAAACTTTTGATGGGATTATAAGATTTTGCATGTAGTATAAACCATGTCTCACTGTGTAGAATATTGTAGTGCCGTTAAGGAAACAACTTGTACTTGAGCAGCTGAGAGCCTCCAAGAGCCAAGGACTAGGAGGACCAAGAAATTGACCGCGAGACTCGCCATGACAGAACGGCTGATTGCCCCCAGCAGAGAATCATATTTCCACGTTGCGAAAGACGGCGTTTAATTCCTTTGTAGCTTTGCTTGATTGATTGGCTCCAGGTTTGCTCATCTCCCCGGTCGGGAAACACGCCGCACATTTTGACACGAGCGCTTCCAGGGGCAAGTTCACATCGGCTCACCTATTGGATGTAGAAGCGCTGACTTGAGACCGGGATAACCGCTGCACTAGCCGTTTTTGAAGAAAGCTCGACGTCTACGGAAGCTGGTCATACTACCCAAAGTAGCCATTGTCAGAAAGGATCTCCTTTAGTTCGAAGACAGGAGTGTCAAGGAGGGTGCCGCCGTGGCGTTTGAACACGTCTGTGATTGTCTTGCTGTCGATGGGTCAGCCAACCATTACCCCGGGGAGACGTTTTCCAAGTACAAAGATGGTTTCCCGCAATAGCAAGTCGTCCCCTACCCAATCGCAGGTGCCATTCGGGGTCTTCAGCTGAATACTTGAGCGAGACATGTTATAATGTAGTGTTTGCCTTGTTGCAGCTCAAGTACAAGCTGACTGTCTTGTTGTGTGTAGGTCTGCTACTAGGAAGGAAGGTGAGTGTCAGAGACCCAGCGCCCGTTATAGTGATTGAGTAAGTATCTAATAAGGCACTAACATAGCCTTCTGTACACTCAAGCCTACAGCTTGAGTCTATTACAATAGCCCTATAATGCCTGTCCCTTTAAATGCGCAAGAGTGCTACTCTTGTATTAAATAAAGATATTAACTAATAAGAAACCTAGATATAAAGGACACATAAGCCTACTAAGAAAGAGTAAGATAGTAGAAGTACTAGCAATTTCCTAGGTCTAGTACCCAAGTGGCACCCTCGCGCATTGAAAGGGATTCGCACAACGGTCCACACCATCATGTTTCACATACTGAACTGCTACTTATAGTCTCTTATGCGGACTCATTTTAGTTTCAAAGTGTCTCGCTATAAGATATATTTCTAACGTCTTAGTCATGTTAAATTATTGCAGGCTTTGTTCTATACTGCTTACTGGTGAGTTTTTTCCCTGTTGTATTTAATCTCTCCTTTACATTTATTTCGACGGCAAAAGAGTCTTTTTATTAAAGTATTAAAAATCAACATGAAATCTGCTCCGTTAATGCTGGCCGGACTGGCCGGACTGACCAGCCTGGCCGTTGCTGGGCCAATCAACGGGCGGCAAGCCAGGCCAACCAAAGAAGAGCTTTTTGTCCGCACGACTTATCCTCCCACAAAAACTGACGTGCAGGCTCCCTTTGAGGCCGATATCCGTGTCGACACGAACCGCGATGGCGTGGTAGACGTCCAGGGCTCATCTGATACAGAAGGCAAGAACAAGTGTACTGAAACATCCGGCGCCATTTTCCTCGCCAACCTTGGCGACTCGGGTGGCCGGTGCAAGCAACTCGGCCCATCAAAGAACCCTAGAACACCGCGGGCGACGCTCGCCAAGTGCCACGATGCCGATGGTGACGAGCAGCACGCTCCCCAGAACATGGCCCCAATCCTTACCGTCCCCATCCAGGGGCTAAGCAAGTCGGCCACGGCTACCGTGACGGTCTCAGATGCCCAAGTACGCCCTCTAGTGCGTATTTTCGTCGCTCGTAGCGATGGCAGCTGGGAGATTGTCAACAACAATACGGTCTTCTCTGCTGAGGAGATCAAAAAAGGGCTTACGCTAGGTATTGATGCTCGCGACACTCGACGTGCCGGCGGCTGGGATGGCCGAGTAAGCGTCGACTTTACTATCAAGGATGGAGGGGCAACATCCAAGGACACAGTTTGTCTACGCGTCGCCCCCGTGCTCCTCCAACACCATCGCCAGCCCGTCCAGAAGGTCTTCGCATCCTCCTTTCCCGGATTAACGGGGAAGATGAAAGCCCTTGTTGAAGGGATCATGAAGGGCATTGAAGACAGTATGCAAAAAGCTCAGGTTCCAGGCCCTTTGACTAGGCTACCTACCAAGGATCTATGGGCGCAGGACTACTTCGAGCCCGGATACACAAGCATGCCAGGACCAAACGGCACCGTCATCTCACTACGTGTGATGATAGAGGGTAGACGCAACTACTTCGACTCAGCACGCCTTATATACACACATCTTCGCGGCGACGGCGTGGGCGGGTTCAGAGCCCAGTCACGGGACGACTTCAATCCGTGGGACGAACCCTTCGAGGCCGGCGGCAACATGGAGACGATTCCGCCCTACGAGTTCAATGGCAAAAAGTTCCCGGCTGGGCGTGTTGTGGTAGGCGGCAATGCGGCCAGATTACCCCGTATCGTCGACTTCTTCCGCGCCCAGGAGACGCAGGACCCTATCGTCCTGGACTCGACCTGGCTCTCCGTCAAGCACGTTGACGAGATGATCCAGTTTTTACCTGCTAAGACGAAACGCGGCTGGATCATGATGGCCGTCGATCCACAGATGGGCTTGACGCAGCTCCGTCAGGCCCAGAAGTACGGCTTCGGCGGCCAGCCTGTTATCAACCAGCAGAAGGTCAAGTCGGGCCCAACAATTGACGAGTTCCTCGCTCGACGGTCTAATATCAAGGCAACCGAGATGAGTGCCAAGTACATGAAGGCCAACATTGAGCACATAAAGAACGAAACGGGCCTTACCGACGCCGAGATCTTTCTCCTGCCCATGCTTGTGGGCGTCGACGATGAAGTTCATCATTATATTCGACCCAGCTCCAAGCGCCAAAGAAGTGTCGTCGAGCGCCGAGACAACGAGACGAACTCAGCGTCGAGCCAGGAGGGGCTCGACGCTGAGTTCTTTGAGGATATCGACATACACGGGCCTGGAGGGGACTCGGACCACGACACGACCACCGTCCAGCGCCGTCAATGGCAGCCATCGAAGCCTGTGCATTTCGACTCGTATCTTCCCAGTCTGGTTAATGGCGTGCCCTTGTCCTACCGGCACGTCCTAGTGCCTAAGCCATTTGGCCCCCTCATTAACGGCCACGACATATTTGAGATTGTAACTAAAAGTGTGTACAAAAAGGCTGGCGTCGCTATCGTACACTTTCTTGACGGCTGGCAGTTTCACAAATACAGCGGAGACTTCCACTGCATGACCAATACATTCCGTGATACTTCAGCGCCATGGTGGTTGAAGCCCTTGTAGTTGCACGTGGGCAGAGGACGATCCATGGGTAGGGTTACCAAAAGTGTCTAACGGGGCAAATGTATCTGCATGATCCGTCCTCGTGTCTTTGAGGCAATAGCCCTTCGAAATACACTGGCGGTGGCAACGTGCCTGCGGTACGTAGCTACCTGGGTCATAGAATGCAGAGTCTTGGTACGATTTACTTGCTGATGTTCCTCAATAAACTGATTATTATATACAATTCGTCTTGAGATCTAGTGACTATCTATAGTTTATAGTAACGTGATTTCTTTACACTGGCAGGTACTGTTATGCACACGTATTAAAGAGGGAACGTAAAAATACTACTTAATTAACTTAATAATATAAATAATATATATTAAATACTCTAGATAGCTATAAAGCTATATAACTACCTAGAAAACACCTAGAAAACCCTCTAATAGAAAGAAAAAACCCTGCCTACTTCTATTTTTACCTCTTAGGCCGGCTCTAGCTCTATGCCGGCTGGGGTCTGTCTGTCTCCTGCACATGCGTAATTGTCGCCGGCTTTGCCGGCTGTGTTCTAGAGAGGCAAACTACCCTTAAAAATCTAGCCTGCCTCCAGCTCTACGCTAGGGCTATCTTGCTCCTGCCTAGTTGTCTGTCGCGTTCTTTAGTTCCTAATTGTCCCTTCCCTTAGGGACGCAGTCTACCTCAGTGCAGTATGTTGTCTGTTGCTTTCTTAGGGGTGGGCCGGCCCGGCTCTAGACTAATGTATAACTGCTAGCGTAAGTATATAAATAATATAATAAATAACAGAAAAACTATACTTACTTATAAAAAAACTTTTTAGCTTTAAGTCTATAGTACTACTATACTAGCTTAAGACTATTTTTAAAATATAAACTAATATAAAAACTTTCCTTTTTTTTTATACTTAATTACCTTTGTAGCGTAGTAGTTAAGCGCTATAGAGCTCTATCTCGCCAGCAGGGAGCCGGTTTGAACCCGGCCGGAGGCACTTAAATTTTCGGCCTAGTTACCTAGAAATTAGTTAAGCTGTAAACCTTATTATATAATTAAGAGGTAGAATTAAGCTAAGCCTACCTAAAAAATTAGCTAGCAGGGCCTAGAGCTCTAGAGCTAGGGAAAATTAAGCTAGTATATAATATAGCTGCTATATATTACACTCTAAGGTAATAAAGTTAGATAGATAGAGGGAAATATACAGTCTAGTGTAACAGTAGCTTAAGTTCTAAGTTACAGTAGGTCTGTTTCTTAGGAAGTAAGTTAAGTTAAGCGTTACTAAGTAATAATATAAGTAGTGTAATAATAAAGCTGTTAAGAGTATAACTCTTAATAGTAAAACTATTACTTAGATTAATTAATAGAGAACTAGACTATTTACTATAGTAGAATACCTTCTTCTTAAGTACTTATCTATCTCTTTATTATAGACTAAATTAACTAGCTTACTTATTAATCTCTTTAAGCCTTAATTAAATAGCTTAACTATTAATTCTCTTAAGTTTTATTCTAGATTATTAGCTTAAAGCCTTAAGCTTTTAATCCCCTTATAAATTATATAATATATTATATGCTACTATTCTCTTTCTATATACTCTACTATTATACTTTATTTTAGTAGTATAGTTCTATTCTATATCTTCTATAGTAACGTTTGTAATATTATACCTCTTCTCTATTAGTCTTATTCTTAAGGCTATTAATTAGGCTGTTTAAAGTCTAAGGTGTTTTTCCTCTTATATTATTATATACTATTATACCTACTAATTATATTATTAAGCAAAAGTTAAAAATATATTCTTAGAAGTTTAAGTAGTATAAAGCTTTATTATATTTAATTCTTTTTAATTTATTAATTATAGAAAAAGCTTCTTATTTTTATTATAAGGAAAAAAGTATTACTTTTTATTAATTATTCTTCTTTAATTCCTCTTGCTATACTTAGTGCGTAATAAATTATTAATTCTATTATAACGTCTAGAGTATCTTGCTAGCTTAACTCTACTATATAGCTAATTACTATATATATTTTAAAAAAGAACTTAAGTTAGCTAAAGATAAGTATTATTTAATAAATATAAAGATAAAATGTTTATAAAAACAAAAGAAACTATAGTTTAAGAAAATAATATATATAGTTATATATAGTATTAATAATATTAAAGAGTTAAAATATATAAAGTATAAGAAAGCTAAATAGCTTTAAAAAATACTAGTATTCTTTCTACTTCTTTAAATAATTTAAATTCTATATTAATTTATTTCTTAAATACTAAGTTTAATATTAAGTTAATAAATAATATTTAGGTATTAAATTAAACTATATTTCTTAGAAATAAAACTACTAAAGTAATATTAAGCAATTTATAAAGTTCTCTATTAGTTTCTAAGTATTTTCTAAGTTTAAGTATTCTTTCTATTTAATAAAATAATATTAATTCTTTCTGTTTTCTTTTGCCTTAAGTATTTATTTAACTTTATATTTATTATTATTTTTTATTATAATATTTATAGTAATTATAGAATTATCTAGTGCTTTTTCTAATAATAATATATAAAATATAGAATAAATTCTTATTTTATCTAGTAATTATTATAGTCTAAGCTATGCTCAACCTTAATAGAAGCGCAGCAATAGATGCACTGCACTGCAATGCGCGATAGAGAGACAAGCCCGTGCAGGACCTATATAGTGCTAGATTAAGCAAGCTGCTAATTATTTTATTAGTAGTTTATATAGCTTTATAAGTATTATTTAAGTATTTAGTTTAAAATCTTAGTTTATTTATTTAATTATAAGTAAAATACTATTAATAAACTTTACTTAATTTTTATAGTCTTTATAAAGCTTTTCTAGAAGTTTAATATAAATAACTTATTTTAGTTTAATATAAGTTTTATTAGTAAGCTATATTATATAATAACTATTTTAAAGAATACATATATTAAGTTCTTTATATTGCTTAATTCTATATAAGAAATATAATAAGTATACTTTATAAGTTTATTTACTATAACTAAGATGCTATTATAAGTTACTTTTATTATAAGTTCTTTTAACTTTAGTAGTTTAATAATAAAGTTTATAGTAATAGTTTGCTATACTCTTTCTAGTAGTAATATTAATTATAATTCTCTATATAGTATATATTATGCTAATTTTACTTTATTATATATATTATATTTTCTAATAACTTCTTATACTATTTTTCTGCTTTCTAGGAAATTATATAATTATCTTAATTAGTTAAGAGTCTTCTCTATACCTTAATATCTATATAGTAAGTATTTATATATTTTCTTAATAAGCTGCTCTTAAAGTATACTAGAAATATACTAGTATTTATTGTATAAAAAGGTTCCTTCTTCCTTAGATAGATGCATTTTTATTTCCTAATTGTCTAGGTAGCTATTATTCTTAATGTATAATATAATCTTTTGTATTTATATTTTGTCTAGCTAAACTTACTATATTATATTAACTTCTTAAGTGCTTAACATAAGGTTTCTATCCTTAGTAGTATATAGCAAGAGTATATTACTTACTTACTCTTTTAATTTTAAATTCTCTCTTTAGCTAAGT